CGTCTTGCGAGGTACCACTGTACCTTTTAGCCAGACACATACTGAGCAGGGACTCAATATGGGATCCTAGTCCTGGTGTTCTAGCGATTTTTGCATTGATTAATTAATTTGTTTTAGCATCTCTGTAGTTTTGATTACCGTATTTTTCCGTGTATAAGAGGCCCCCGATTTTGGGGGACTGAATTTAAAGAAAATGAGGCTCAAAATTGTTGAGCTTTTTTTAGGGGGAATGGAGCGCATGCTCCCTAGAGCACACACACCTCTCACAACGGCATGGGGGAAGAGTTGTGCGCCTGCAAACCAGCTGGCTAGCAGCGCGCAGCTTCCCCCCCCCCCCACTATCTGTCTATAGGATGACCCCAGTTTTTTTACATGATTTTTGAGTCAAAAAACCTCATCTAACACATGGAAAAATCTGGTAGTTGCTCACTGCTGTGAATACATAGAAGGGTCTGAAATGGCCACAGTGTTGCTGGTGCAACAGAAGCCCATTTCTCCCCCAGTGCAAGGACATTTCTCTCTGCCTCCATCACTTGAATAGCAAAGTGGGGAGGAGGGGGGGGGGAGCAGACAAAGGCAGGGACGACAGCAGACCCAGCTCCCCAGGGCCTGTTTTTCTAGGCCATCCGCCTTGCAATGAATGGGAGCTTCTCGACAGCACCCTCCTTTTGCTTCGTGTGTGTGTGTGTGTGTGTGTGTGTGTGTGAGCCCGTGAAAAAGAGAGTCCGCCCTTCTTCACGCCTCTCCGGGTAGAGATGTTGTGGAAGACAGAAAAAGAAACTGGGCGAGAGGGCATCCTGGGGCACAGCCGTCTTGCCGGCTGCTCCAGTTCTGGGCTTCAGTTCTGTTTAGTGTTCTTCAATAATTGAAAACTTAGAGGGGGGGAACCACCGCAGCCTCCCCCTCGTTACCTCTCAAGGCCCGGCTTCTGGCAGCCTTCCTGCTGTTCCTGCGCTGCGTTACGAAGCCAGGATTTGTGTGGGCTGCCTTGAGCAATTGTGGCCAGGCTGGCTCTCAGCCACACGTGTTTTCTTCTCCGCTGTCCTCTTGGCTTGGCCATTATTCCCCCCTCCCCCAGTTTAATATATTAATTGTATTTATTTAGGCCATATTTTTAGCCTGGTGTTCAGTCGTATTGATTTCCAAAGCAGAACACAATTGAATTACAATAATACAAATGTAATAATAAAACAATGCAACAGCAGAAGAACCAAGATACCAGTGGTATCTCAGGTTAAGAACTTAATTTGTTCTAGAGGTCCATTCTTAACCTGAAACTGTTCTTAACCTGAAGCACCACTTTAACTAGTGGGGCCTCCTGCTGCTGCCACGCAATTTCTGTTCTCATCCTGAAGCAAAGTTCTTAACCCAAGGTACTATTTCTGGGTTAGCGGAGTCTGCAACCTGAAGCGTCTGTAACCCGAGATGCCACTGTAAGATCAAAAGCCAACATTAAGGAATGGATCTACGGTTCATCTTCCCGCCAGCAGGGAACAGCTTTAGCGACAAAGTTAGTTGAATTGCTTGGCCGTTTCTGAGTGGGAAGCAGGTTGCCCTGAAGATGCTGAGCTCCTCAGTCTCCCCCGGTCCTGGCACAAGGGAGCCCCCCCCCCCCAGTAGAGCATCTCTGCTGCATGACTGGCGCATCCCTTGGCACAGAGAGGGTTGGATGCTTCTCTCAGATGCTGATCCCTGGGCCGAGGCCTGCGATGGGCGGGTGTCCAGTTTCATTTTGGGAAAGCTGTTCTGTTGCAAAAAGGACCTCAGAAAGGTAGGTAGGTAGAGAGAGGTAAAGGAAGTTTGATGGTGAGGAGGACCAGCTCTATGAGACTGAACTCCAGCTGTGTGGTGGAAAAGGCGAGGGGGGGTGCCAATATTAATAATAAATAATAAATAAATAATTTATTATTTATACCCCGCCCATCTGGCTGGTCTACCCCAGCCCTCTGGGAGGCTTCCAACAAAATATTAAAATACCATAATACATCAAGCATTAAAAGCTTCCCTAAATAGGGCTGCCTTCAGATTTCCACCCCATCTCCATTCGGAGGGCTTTCCTCTCTACTGTATTGATCCGTCTGCCAATCGGTTTAGGACCCCCTCTGGCATTTTTTATCACCCATGCAAATTGGCACCACCCTGCAAATGGTCATTTGCATTTTCCTCACCTGAAGTGCTTCCCATTTTCAGTTTGGTTTCCCAAAGCCCCCCACCTTGTTCAGACTGCCCCCCCCCCGGACTAGAGTCTGGGCCCAGGAGGGGTTGCCTTGCCTTCTCCATCTGCTCTCCTCCCTTCCCACAAGGGGGATGCGGGTGGGCAGCGCATGTGCCCTTGTGCTGGGAGAAGAAGTGGAGGGTTTGCTCTCTCCAGAAAGCAGCTGCAGGTGGAAGCTGGAGGTGGCTGGGGCCCAGTGGCAGAGTTAGCTGCATGGGCACCGAGAGCAGGGGCCATGCAGTGCACCGGGGGGGGGGGGTGATCTGCCACATGGGGGTGCGGCAATCCACAGCGGTGGCAGGATCCTCCGCAGCTGCAGAGGGGGCGGCACGATTCTCTGCACACAGCGCGATGGTACCAGGTCGCACCGCCACTCCCGGGGGCGATGGGTCAAGCCCCCCGTGGGGTGCCTTTTTGTCACCCCCCTCAGAGATGGCACCCAGGGCAGACCACCAACCCCCTTTGTCCGCCAGTCCTGGGGCCGCCCTTGATTCAAGGTGATAAGATGCACTTGAGTCCAGAATCCAAGCCTGCCTGAAGATCCTTTCTGAAATCTGGGCCTGGGGGTGAGAAATATTACCTGCAAAGATCCACTGCCTACTCCTCTCCTCTCGTGAGTTTGGCACAGGCCCGGTTTTCCTGGGTGTGAGCTTCACCCCCACAGAGGAGGAGGCAGTGCTCAAGGCCGGGTTGTGGGAGTCCCAGCTGCCTGGGCCCTTGGCAGGATGCGCAGAACATCTTTAATCACACTCTCTGTGCATTTGCAGCCCTGCAATGGCTGCCCAGGGAGCCTCTGGATTCTGGGCTGCCATTTAATTCTCTCCTCCTGATTTACTGTGCATGGGCTTCCTGTCAGACTTGGTTTGCTGGACTGCCAGAAGGAGCTCGCTTGCTTGCAGTGATGGATTGTCCCCCACCCACCGGGTGCTGTGTGCGTCTGTGCGTGAGAGAGAGAGAGAGAGAGATGATCTACTGTGCTGCAGGGAAGGCTGAATTTGCTGCCAACTCAGGGCCCAAGGGGGGCAGAGGCTGCTGCAGTTGGCCCTGGTCCAACCGGAGGGTCGCTTTGGCTGTGACACATCTCCCTCTTTCCAAGGAAGAAAAGCGTAGACAATGTGAGATTATTCCGTCGTAATTTCTTTACTAAAATACTTGTATACTGCTATGTCATTTTTAAAAAAACCATAGCCCACTCAGCTGCATTTGTAAGAATTTGGTCTTTCAGTGTGGCAGCACCTACACTTGGGAACTCCCTGCCTATTGACATTAGGTGGGCACCCTCCCTGTACTTTTCCCCGGCACCTGCTAAAAGTCTCCCGCTGCTGCTGGGCGCTTCTGTTGTCTGGGGTGGAAGAGCAGTCTCTGCTGCCGCTTCCAGGGACCTGGTGAGGCCAGAGAGAGAGAGAGAGGGAGGCAGGTCTCTGCCACAGCACAGCTGTTTTCTTTGTTTGGTAGACCAGAGACAAATGTCCTCCCAGGTGCTTGCTGGGCCCAGAGTTGGATGAGTCCCTGACCCGAGTTTCTGGCGCATTTACCGCCGTGCTTCTCCAATACTGACATAATCCCTGCAAAATGTACCTTATGCACAGAACTAACCGAACCGCATTCAAATAGAAAACAAGTGCATTGCTTTATATTTCTTCTGTTCTTCCTCTTCACCGTCTGCCTGAAAGCGAACATCCTGTTTTTAGCTTGCTGAGAGAATGTCAGGTTTGGTGGGGTAATTTCCCCGCCATCCTATTATCCAAACTTGTGTCCGTTGAATTCTTTGGTCCCTTTCATACACACCCAAAGCCTTTAAGCCGGCTGGTGTTGGAGAGGGAGGTGGCCTCTGTTATCCGCTCAGGGGAGGGGAAATGCTTCAGGGTGACTCAGGCCCCTTTTTTGTCCTCTTCACATGATTTCATCATCTTCGCACACTAAAGTTAGCAGGAAGGTGTGAGGAGGAAGCCGTGGAACAACTGGGCGCTCCTGGGTTGCCAAACTAGTCAGGGCCGCCCAGGTTGGGTGGCTTGGGGGAAGCTACTCTGCTGAAACCCTCCGATGAATGCCCCATACCATGTCCTGCCTGGTAGGTAAAAGTAAAGGACCCCTGGACAGTTGAGTCCAGTCAAAGGCAACTCTGGTGTTGCGGCTTATCTCACTTTCAGGCCGAGGGAGCCGGTGTTTGTCCACAGATCATGTGGCCAGCAGGACTAAACCTCCACTGACGCACGGAGGACTGTGACGAGTGCCAGAGCACACGGAAACGCCTTTTACATTCCCGCCACAGTGGTACCTATTTATCTGCTTGCACTGGCGTGCTTTCGATCTGCTAGGTTGGCAGGAGCTGGGACAGAGCACTGGGAGCTCACCCCGTCAGGGATTCGAACCGCCGACCTTCCGATTGGCAAGCCCAAGAGGCTCAGTGGTCTAGACCACAGCACCACCCGCATCCCTGCCTGGATCTGGTTCCCGTCAGAAGGAGGGCACACCCTGCCCACTGGAACAGGCACAAGCCTCCTGCTTCCCAGAGCACAGCTGTATGTGGTTGCTCTCCCACCGGCCGTAGAATCTCTCCATCACTTAAATCCTACTCCACCCCCCTTGACCGCCAACTTTTTGCCATTTTGTGGGGAGCAGGAGGGAGGGGTGCTTCTTCTCCAATTGCGGTGCGGTCTTCATTCCTGCTGCACCTGCTGAATTAATACCTGATTCCTTCCCCCTCCTCTCCCGAGCGTGTCTCCTGCATTACCGCCCCCCCTCCAGTATAATCAATTGATCCATTGATAGGTTACTTGATGGCTTTAATACAGTGGGTGCCCCCAATTACTTTGGCAGCAGATTTATTTTAAATAAAAAAATCAAAATACAAGTAGCTTATAAAAACTGCAGTTGACAGGCGGCTCCGTGGTAAAGGAGCTGTTTGAGGTGCGTGAGAGAGAAAGGGGAGGCCCTCTTGGAGGAGGAGAAATGACCTAACAGAAGGCAGGAGGCTGAGCCACCCTTGAGAGTTGCCTTTCTCCTTGCAGGGAAAGGGGTGCATTTGAATGCATAAATCAGCTGGAAGCCATTTGATTTAATTGACGTGTTAAGATTTCTTTAGCTGGCGAGTGCTGGATCACAACCTCCTTCCTGAAACGGCGGCGCAGCTGCTCCTCCCAGAAGGAATAAATGTGGGCCTTTCTGTTGCCAGGTTGGAATCCTGCAAATATTTGGATTCTGACATGTCTTTTGCTCAGACTGGAAACAGCATTATTTAAAGGGCGATTACTACTCCCCTTCCCCAGACATTTTGGACCACAGGGGCTGTTGGGAATTGTAGTTCAAAACATCTGGAAGGCACCAGGCTGGCCCAGCATGTCGGGATCAAGCCCTGACCTGCATTCCTGCCTCTGCCCCTTCCCTCAACCCATTCCCCCTCTCGCCCAGACAGGCCAGTTAACCCCTCCACCACCACCACCATGTGAAGTGATATGGCTGAAGGAGGGGGGGCTATGGGAAGGCGAGGGGCTGATCTGCCTGCCAGTCCCCTCTGTGACCCTAGTCTGTGGTTCCCTTGCCCTCTGTGCAGGATGCCAGCCTTCATTGCACTCCCCGCCCCCCCAAGAGAAAGGGACCACCTCCATGCTTCTCTCCAGCATGATCTTCCTGTACCCGAAGAAGCCCTTGTTGTGCCAAGGGAGCCATTCTGAAGGAAGGGGCTCCTTCTTCCAGTTTGCAGGTGGGGAAGAGGCAGCAGCTCCAGCAGACGTTACCCCAGCCCCCTCCCCCCTGGGAGGGCAACCCACACAGCGACCCCCTCCTACACCCAAGGGCAGGGGGCTGCTGCTGCTGCTGCCCCTGGTGAGATGCCAACTTGCTGCGGGGCTGGAGCAGCCCTGATCAGCATAAGAAGGGGCTCCCTTTGCCTGCCCCTATGCTGCCCCTCTCACCCACCCATGCCCAGGAGGACCAGAGTGTCTCCTGTGCCAACCAGTGGGCAAAGGGCAGGTCCGGTGCCATCTGCTGTGCCCCCAAGGAAAGAGGCCCAGAGGACGGGCAGGTTTGCTTCGGCCAACGTGGATTTTAACGCCTGCATTCCTGCTGCTGTGGAGACATTTCACCCCAACAGACCACGTTTTTGCATTCCATTGGCTGTTTTGTTCTAGTGGTTTATTTGGGGATTGGGTGGGATACAAATCTAGCTCTAAAATAAAAAATAAACGCCCCCTCCGTGCTTGGGAAGTGGTGTGGGCTCTGCTCTGAGCTCTGACATGAGCCCCTCTCCCTCAGTGGGGCTGGCAGGGGAAGAGGTGAGGGGGTGGCAGCCTCCCACAGCCGCCTCTTTGGCCTGCCCAGGAGAACAGCTGTCTGCTTCACTGCCTCTCAGGGAGGTCAGAGAGCGGCCTTTACCCAGGGAAGGGGGCACCCGCTTGGGGCAACCTTGGCTGGGTATTTGAAACAGGTGGGCAGGTGTCTGTGAGTGGGGAGCCCCCTTGAACTCCCAGTGGAGGCTAAAAGGGGTTCTTGGCAGAAAAGCTCCTGGTGGTTGCCCTCCCCTTCCAACCCCATCACCACCAGTGGGCACCTGCCTGGGCACAAGCCTCTCTGGTGGGCTCCAGCAAGCAGCCCTGAAATGCCACAACAACAGCTGGTGTCCCCCCCCCCAATTCTTCCAACAGGCAACTCTCCTCCCTGCCCCCTCAGCCTTTAGGGTGGGATGTTGTGGTCCCGCGGAGGACGGGGGGGGCACTTTACAGACACTGCCCCTGCTTCTGCTCCCTGTTTCCTCTGCCGTGTGACTGGCAGCTGCCAGAGCCATGCCCAGCCGTGCAGGAGGGCTTTGCCAGTGTCCCTTCCTGCCCTCAAGCCTCTTCCAGAGGAGAATTGGAGGGGTCAGGCGAGTGCCAGCAAGAGTCCTGGGGAAGAAGATGAAGGCCCAAGAGGGAGGGAGGGAGGGAAGGGGAGACGGCAGGTGTGGTGAATGCGCAGCACCCTTGGCGGCGGCCCAGAATGGCCTCTGGGCTATGAGCCCTTTTGCACCCAGCGCTTGGGGCAGCTGCCTCTTTGCCCTTCATGCCTGGCACAACCAGGGCCGTGACTCAGTGGGTAGAGGGTGTGCCTTGCACTCGGAGTGCCCCAGGTATTCAATTTTCAACATCTGCAGGCGAGACTGAGCTTGATGCACCAGAGACCTGACTCAGTATGAGGCAGCTTCGGTCTTGCTGCTTTCAACCTCTTTTCTCTCTCTTACCTCCTGCCTCCTCCTTGGCAGCTGCCTCTTTCCTTGGCAGCTGCCTCTTTGCTAGAACGAGAGATAACCTGGTGCTCAGTGTGACCCCCAGGGGCCTCTGTCCCCACTTGCAGCCGCTACTCTCCACACCTGTGTGGGAGAATCTGCAGCCCAAATCACAAACGGGGACTCTTTGATGTCCTAGCCTCTAAACCAGGCTTCCTCAAGCTCGGCCCTCCAGATGTTTTGAGACTACAATTCCCATGATCCCTAGCTACCAGGACCAATGGTCAGGGATGATGAGAATTGTAGTCTCAAAACATCTGGAGCGCCGAGTTTGAGGAAACCTGCTCTACTTCTTCCTGTCACTATTCGCTCTTTTTCCTAATTGCAATGGGGGAAGACGTTTCTCTGCTGTCCTCCAGAGAGAAAATCTCCATTTTGAACTGGATATTTGTAACATTTCCGGATTATTGCCTGTCTTTATACCACTGTATCTGCTGAAACCTGGCAAGACGTTTGATGTGAGTAAACCTTGCATTTTTCTTGTTTGCTAGACAATCTGAGAGCGATGTCTTTGTTCAGTGGGAAACATAATGGGAGAAAATAATCCAAGTTACCTAAGAATCCTTGGATATCACAATTATTCTGGAATGTTATGCAGCCTTTGTCCTTATAGCTTCTAGAAATAAGGATGGTGACTTTTCACCCTGCTGAAATAGATATTTGGAAGTATAACTGCCAAATAAAATATCCTCTCCCACTTCTCTAAATCCATCCAGCGCTCTGTTGCTTTTACTCCTCTCCAAGCAGCTACTGTCCTTTCCACCTGGGGGGTTGGACCCCATAGCTCCCCTGGCATTGCTCCTAAAGTAGGAGGCCGGCTGTGTGGAGCTGGCCTGAATGGTCCACCTAGCATCCATCTGCAGCAAGGGCCTGGGGAGGTCCAGAGGTGGGGAAGGGCAACCTGGAGAGGCATGGAAGGGCGGCAAGCAGCTCTCCTCTCTCCTTTGCCCCCCAGGATCTTGGAGGCTGACTCCCTGGGCTGTGGGGCTTCTAGCTTTTGCTCTGCTGCCAGTTGTGACTGCTGGCCTGGGACCTTCCAGCACGGGGGCAGGGAACATCTCCAGCCCTTCAGCTCCCTGACTTCACTCACAACTGCTGGCCTTGCTGGCTGCTGGGAATCAGAGTCCCTCAACGCCTAGAGCAGCGGTTCTCAACCTGTGGGTCCCCAGATGTTGTTGGACTACAACTCCCACCATCCCTGAGCTCTGGGAGTTGTAGTCCAACAACATCTGGGGACCCATAGGTTGAGAACCGCTGGCCTAGAGGGACATGGCGGGGGGTCTTCTGCATTCCCACCAGCCAGGCACTTTCCAAGGCATAGGCAGGATGTGTGAGTGAGAGTGTTGCATGTGCGTAGCTCACTGTGTAGCCAAAGGCACCTTGGAGAGGGAAGGTGGAAGGCTTTGTGACACGCTTGGCAAAGAGGAGTGCCCAGCAGAAGGCAAGCGGGGGACGGGGGACAGGGAACACTCCTGTTTGAGTCAGCCTCCTATGGCTACCCAGATCTGCTCCCCACAAGCCTTCCAGACCCCCAGAGGCGAATGCTGTGTGGGCAGCCCTGGGGGTCTGTTTCCAATGCTCCTCTTCCTCCTCCTCCTCCTCCTCCGCCCCAGTCTGCCAGGCTTTCCTCCCTCTCTCCTTTCTCCTGCCAAAACCAAGAATGAACTCCCTCCTAAAGGCTCCCCTGGGCACAGTTTGGGTCTTTCTGAAGGCAGCCAGGCTGGGGTGGAGAGGAGGCCATCATGCCCTGTGCCACCTGGTGAGCCCAGGGAGGAGTGGCTGGGCAGCAGGCGGGCAAGGGTCTTTAGCAAGCTGGATGGTCGCATCCTGCCCCTCTGACTGAGCCAGCTCTGACTGGTACATTTCCAATGCCCACCTAGCCAGGTGCGCAGATGCTGACCTCCCATGAAAAGGGAAGCAGTTGTGAGAAAACTGCTGGCCCCACACCAGAGTGGCGCTCAGGGGGAGCGAGTGTCGGAAGCAGGGGGGCTGTCCCATTTTGCCACCTGAGGCATCAAGGGAACGTGCCGCCCTCTGCTCCCCACGCCCTGCCCACCCAACCGCTTCTGCCACATGATGTGAGGAGGAGGAGGGCCTTCCGCAAAGCCTTGCTGCTTGTCTGCTCCCATTCTGGCAGTGGTGGAAGCAGCCGTGTGGGCAGGGGGCCGCCTCTGGTCCTTCTGCCACCCGAGGAGGCTGCTTCTCCTGCCTCATGAGTGGGCCAGCTCCGTTGGGGAGGCACCCCTTTGGCCACCCCCAGACAGGCTGCTCTTTCCTTCTTGTGGGGCAATCAGTGCCCAAAGGGCAGTGTGGGTCCCACCCACAAGCCCTGGCACATTCAGGAGCTGCTGCAAACCTTGCCCCACTCCTGTTTGGGGCTGCTTTGCCCCCTCGCGTCCTGATGCTGGGTTGCTCAGCACACAGCTGCCCCCCCCCCAATTCTCTTTCTGTGCCCTTCTTGCCCTGCTCCAGGCCTATCCAGGATTATAGGTCCGTTGGCACCGCTGGCATATCAGATGGTCTTTCCAGCAACCCTGGAGCCAACAAGGGGGCGACTCAGCTCCTTGTCATGGATCGTGGTGGTTCTGCAGCCGCAACTCCGCCTCCTTTCCTGCCATGGCCCTGCGGGCAGCCAAGTGGGCATCCCATGGAGGAACCTTGGAATGTTACTGCTGAGGTGGGTCTGGGCGCAAGCGTCCAGGCAGGTGGGCGTGTCTCTGGCCATGGGGCCCCGGGAGAGGGACGCTTGCCCGCCTGCCCCCCTCCCCGGGCAGAGCGGCCCCCCATCAGCTGGTGCAGACGCTGGTGACGGAGGCCCCCGCCCCGGGGTCCACCAGGCCCAGCTCCTCCTGCTCGTTGATGCACAGCTGGTAGCCGCAGCCTTTCCGGCGAGGGAGGGGGCCGGCCAGGCCAGGGGACTCGGGTTTGGCCTGGGGGGGCAGCAGGAAGCCCACGCTGCCGGCGATGAGCATGTGCCAGATGCTGTGGATGTAGAAGTAGTTCTCCTCCGTCTCCACAAAGGCGTAGAGCAGCACCGCCGAGGCCGCGATCAGCGCTCCGGGCAGCAGGTAGAAGGTCCAGCGCTGCCACGTGGGAGGGTAGCAGTGCCTCCGGCGGATGCTACGTGCCGTCTGCGGAGGAAGGAGAGGGGTGTCAGGACCAGTCCAGGTGGTTTGGGGAGAGGCAGGGCTCCCTCATGCCCTCCACCTTGTGATCCTAGAATTGTAGCATTGGAAGGGTACCCCCAGAGGTCATCTAGCCCAACCCCCTTGCAATGCAGGAATCAGAGCTAAAGAGCCCCGGGCAGACGGCCAGCTGACCCCTGCTTGAAAACCTCCATTTTCTTCCTTGTGCCTCACATTGTAGGGAAGAGCTCCAGTGGTTCATGTGGGATGTGATCCACTGGGAGCAGTCAAGTACAGCATTCCTTGCAATGCTAGAGAAGACACGCGAGGGAATGTTTGGTCCAGCCAGTCGAAACTTCCTCTTCCTCCTGGCCGGAGCATCCTTCCTTTCGCATGTGATAGAAAGTGGGCGTGACCTTACCTGTCCAGGTAACAAAAGGACGAGTCACACAGCACACCTCTCTTTTTTTGACTTCCTTCTTCGTTTGACCGGCTTCTAGCTAGGACTGCTCTGCCAGCTCTCAGCTAGCAGAAGCACTGGGATTATTCCCCCATATGGGGTAGATCCACATGTACATATAGGCGTACCTCTACTTACGTATCCCTCTGTATATGGGATCTTCGGGTTATGGCCACGGCAAACCCAGAAATATATACTTCCGGGTTTCGCCCCGTGGCATGTGCAGAAGCACGCCTCTATTTACATAGACCCCCAGAACGAATTAAGTTCGTATCTGGAGGGTCCACTGTATTTGTAACTAAGTCTGCCTTCAGGAATCCAGCTGTGAACTGATGTAAGTAAACTTCTTTTATTGACTTTGAATAAGATAGCGGCATCCTTATTCTTTTAAGAGGGATTCAAGGGAACTTACCAGGAACGTACAATTCAGTCTGAGACAGACTGAATTGTATAATAGTGAGAGGCTCACACGAGCCTGCAACCAGCTATCTGCTGTGCATATAAAAAGGGGAAATGTAACTCTGCTAAGTAAAGGAACTTGCTAGTGCAAGTTTGGAAGGATATTAATAAACAATATATCCTCTCCTGCCACCTTGGACATTCCCACAATTCAATGCGCTGCATGCAGTAGATCCCAGGTTCAGTCCCTGGGGGCATCTGCAGGTCAGGATGAGGAAGACTATGCTTCCTCCATTCTTGGAGAGATGCTGCCGGCCAGAGCAGATCATTGTGGGCTAGCTAGGACCACAGTCTGGCTTGGTGTGATGTAGCTTCCAGAGTGGTATAAACATTACAGAGCTTGGTGGACCATTGACCTGCTTGGCATAAGACCACATCCTGCCTTCCTAATTCAACCCAAGGCAAGGCACTTGTGGTTCCCAGGCGCTGATCAGACCCAGAACAGCTGAGCTTTCGAAGGCAGTGACTTCAGGCCACACTCTGGGGTAACTCCGAGTTGCTATTCTTGGGGGTGACCCCAAGATCACTGACCTCTGCACCACAGCAGTTAGGGGCATTAGTAATCAGTTTCCTTGTGCAATGCCCCCGCTGAGGGTCAAAGGGGTCCTGTGTGCAGCCCCCTCCCACAGATGGCAGCCTTAGCCATTTCCTCACGGGCTCTGCATGTCCCCTCAGAAGTGCTCATCGGGTCTCCAGGATTTCAGTCCCATTCCAGGCTGAAAGAGGTGAGAGGAGAGGCCCTGATCTTTCGAGGAGCTGTGGATCTGCGTTTACTGATTTATGACATTTGTAAGACACACGTTCTCTAGGTGCCATACAAATAAGTTCTCTATTCATGGAAACAAACAAGAGACGGACAGGATTTCAGGGGCCACAACCCCAGGTATGTAAGCCAGCCAGAAATCCTTGCCAAGCGGCCCTGCCTGCCCCCAGCCCTTCTGGCAAGAGTCCCTACTCACCCAGGCGACGGCCATGATCCCTAAGGCAAAGAGGCTGGGGCCCAGGAGGTTCCAGAGCCCGTGTCGATCCAGCTGCAAGGCCATGGAGAGCAGCATGGCGCCCAGGAGGTACAGCACCTGCCCAGGGGAGAAAGGGGGGGCGGGTGAACCCTTTGGTGTGGATGCTGAAGATGCACAGGCAGGGAAAGGGTTAAACCATGTTGGGAGGGGGGAGCCGAGAGGTCTTCCAAAGATGTGGGGAGGAATGTCCTGAACTGGATTCTTCCTGTGTGCCTGAGAAGCTGCTTTTTGCTCTGTTCAATTCCAGAGGTGCCTTGGTATTCAAATGCCTTGGTTCTCAAACACCAAAACCCCAGAAGTAAGTGTTCCGGTTTTCTAACATTTTTTGCAACCTGGACATCCGATGCGGCTGTCAGCTATTGATTTCCAGGGCAGCTGCACCAATCAGAAGGTGCACCTTGGTTTTCAAACATTTCGGAAGTCAAACAGACTTCCAGAATGGAGCAAGTTTGGCTCTTTTGTTTTTGCTATTTATTTTGCGTTTTCATTTTTTAGGCTTTTCCGGTTAATTTGTTTTTGCAACTGTGCAGAACCCAGTTCAGCTACTTACTGATGGATTGTGTGACTGCAGAAATGGATAAAAGCCCCCCCCCATCCAAACAATGACTATCATCAGTGCAGGTAAGGGGGGGGAGTACTGTATTTTCCCATGTATAAGATGCCCCCTATTTTTGCAGCAACAACCAATCACCAGTCCACCCTCGGCGCTATCCGTGTATAAGACGCCCCCTATTTTTTGACATTATTTTTTAGGGGAAAAACTAGTCTTATACATGGAATTTTTTTTAATAATCTGCAATACTGTCTTTTTAATTTTATGGTACAGTACATTGCTTCTTGCTTTCATTTTATGGATCAATGGTCTTGTTAGAAAGTAAAATCCATGTTAAAATGCTGTTTTAGGGGTTGTTTTTAAAAGTCTGGAACGGATTAATCTGTTTTGCCTTACTTTCTATGGGAAAGTGCACCTTGGTTTTGGAACGCTTTGGTTTTGGAATGGACTTCCAGAACAGATTAAGTCTGAGAAGCAAGGGACCACTTCTTGCAGTTCTGCTTGCTATGGAACTTAATTTCTGTGCATGTGTAAAACCCATCTTCTCCTGCACCAACTTTGTTCAGGCTTTGCAGAAGTTCTCCCCAGGGGCGCTAAGCTGAACCCCCCCCCATATTGATGGGGCTGCTATGCCCTGCTGCTGCCAGCCAAGTGCCCGGGAGCCCTCCATGTGCCCCCCTTCCCACTGAGGATCTCCACCAGGGATGCGTGGGGCAAAGCATCCATTACCAGCTGGTGGGGGGCAGGGATGGTGGGCCGAGTCAGCCTGGCTGGACTGGCCAGACTGGGGGGGGGGTCTTATACATGTGATGTCATGAGTGCGCAATGCCACCCTCCAAAATGTTGGGTGCAACTCAGCGCACCTGGCTCTCCCCCACCAAGGCCCTGGCTGCCTCCTCTCCTCTCCTGGTGAGGCTTGTGGGATGTGAAACACAAGAGCAGTCAAGTACAACATTCCTAGAGTGAACATGTTTACACATGGTGAGGAATCTTTGTACAGCCAGCAGGTCAACTTCCTGTTTCCTTCTGGGCTGGGACAGACTTCCTCTGCATGTGACTAGAGGTGGGCGTGGCCTCACCTGTGCAGGTAACGACAAAAGCACAGGGCAGGGCAGTCATCTCTCTCTCTTTGACTACCTGCATCAAAGAAGCAACATCTGCTTAGCCAAAGATGCTCTCTTGGCTGGAAGCCAAAGGGACTGTCTCCTTATGATATAGTTTCTAGATATATGTTACTTTTCTAAGCTAAGTCTGCCTTCTGGGATCCGATTGTGAACAGAATGATGTGTGAGTAAACCTTTTTATACTTTTATAGAAGACTGTGTCGTGTCTTATCTTTTATGAGGGAATAAGGGGGAAATAGCAGAACAGTTATTATAGAGGCTTTAGCGAGCCTGAGCAAACACATCCGCTGTGAATTTAAAAAGGGGAATGTTACTCTGCTAAATTGTGGAACTTGTTAACACAAGTTGGAAAGGCTATAATCAGAGAATATATCCTCTCCTGCATCCCTGAACATTCCCATAAGGCTCCCCCCTCTTCTTCCAAGGAAGCGCCCCGCCCCCCAGCCACATAAGTGGCCCCACTGGTCCTTCCACAAACACCAGTGACTCACTGTGGGCATCCCGCGTGGCACTGGCCTCGCAAGGAAGCCCTTGCCCTGTCCTTCTTGCCAAGCTTGTTGCAGATCATAGAATTGTAGAGTTGAAGGGGGACCCTCAAGAGCCATCCAGTCCAACCCCCATGATGCTGGAATCACACCTAGTGACTCCCCACACCTTTGGTCACCTCACCTGCTTAATGACCATCTGGAGGCGGGCCATGGCAATGACGGTGACCCAGACGGACATGAGGGACCCCAAGAAGTCGCAGAACTGCAGCACGTCGTAGTCCATGATGCAGAAGACCACGATGCCCGGCTGGTCACAGGCGTGGTAGAACTGGAGGGACGCAAGAGGGAAGGGGCACCGGAAGCTGACTTTTGTCACGCAAAAGCTGTGCGGGACTTTCAGGTGGCACATGGCGTCTTTGCTGTTCTCACTGCCTGCCATGCCCTGATGGAGTCTGCGCTGGCGCTGACTGAGCAGGAGGAGCAGAGGCGGAGGCGGGGGGGGGGTTAGGCAGTGTGGGAAGCACAAGGGAAATGCCAGCTCCCCATGTGAGAGCGAGGAAAGTGTCTGGGAAGCGGCTGAACACGAAGCAAGCTGGGAGAGCCCACCAAGAAGGCAGCAGTCCTCTCCTCTCGTTGCTTTGAAAATGAGGCTGCAGAGCTGAAAGGCGCCCCAGGGACAGAACTAGCTCTTGGTGAGACTGGCAGTGCCAAGGCTGCATTAGCAGCAGAGACTGCAGGCCCTGGCATTGCACTGCTCAGCTCAGGTGCCAGGGAACTTGCCCCGCTGAAGGGAGAGGGCTATGGCACCGTGAAGGTTGTTAAAACCGGGAATGGAGGGGGGCACTTAAACAGCTACCCAAAAAACCCAAGTCCCCACCACAGCCTCTAAGGCCAGGTCAATGACCGTTGACACAGGCACCAGACATACACAACAGAAAACCAGTCCATCAATAAGCTGATACCATGTATCGCACTCTTGACAATCCAATATAGAATCAAATAATCTCCAAAATTCAATGGCTTGACCCATTTCGTTGGTTCCAAGGGCTAATGACTCCTTCGGAAGAGGGGAAACCGGGTCTCCCCTGGCTCCATAATCCCTTAAGCATAAGGTCACACCCTCCTTCCCCCTCCACAAGGTGGGAACTTAGCCACACAATAGGAGGCAGGAGGCGATCAAGACAGAATGTTGGATTGCATCCTGATACTTTCAAAGGAGAAGGGCAGGAAAGCCTTGCAGCCGGGGGTGTGTGTGTGCAAAAACGTTTATTGTTCTTCAGGAAAGAGGGTACTTAAAAGGGATTGGAAATTGTAGTTATTGACAGGGGTGGGCTCATGTTTCTACATCCCAAACACCCTACTCTGTGACATATTTGTGATGTATCAGTCCTTCCTCGCTCCCAGAATCTGGGCAACCAAAAGTCCCTTCATGGTCGCCATCTGTTGTAAACAAACCTGCCCTTTTCCCTTATGGGGTATCCAAGAGCCCGTATAGAGTCCTTTAAGTGGGTTCTCTCTTGGTAGGAGAAAAGAACAGAGGCCAAGCAGAGAATATTGAGAAGCAAAGCAGCTCGTAAGCCTGATCTTTATTGATCTGTTGCAACAGGGTGCTCCCCTCACACGTAGGAGGAAAGAGAAGGCTCCCGAACAAAGGTGTGCCTGCCCTTATATAGACATTTTAAATTCCCTGCCCTGGAACTCAAGACCACCCCTCCATACCTCATGCATACATCACAGAAGGGGTGTAACCCAAGACCACCCCCCACAAACATCATACCTACATCACAGAAAAGGCGCTCTACAACAGAAATTTGAGTGTTGTTGTTTTTGCTGTCTGGCAGGTTTTTCTGATAATGCCTTATCTGATTGCCTGGTGATTACCCACTTCCTGAGACAATGGGAAAGTTCCCTCACCCCCTCCCTCCTTGCAAAGAAAACATTTGGCCAGTTTGGGAGTCAAAATTGTTTCAGGGAGTCAAAATGGCTTCAGGAAGGTCTTCCTGTGCTGCTCCAGACATTGGTACATTTATGAACATTTTATTTCTCTCTCTCTCCCCCCCCCCTCTCTCTATATATGAGACCTTAAAATTCTTATAACACAATGATGCTGTTGAAGAATGTATTATGGGAAATGGGGAGAGGTCTTAAAAGTTCACGCAAGCCCATGCTCAGGGTTCTTACTCCAGGTGTGTGTGAACCCTGCTGAAACAAATAAAGATCCGGTCTACTGACTGCTGTTTGCTTCTTTACTTGGCAGGAGATTCCTTCTTTCGCTGACCAGGAGAGACCCATGGGGAGTGGCACCCCAATGAGCTGGGCAGTGGAGCAAACCTGCACCCAGACTTTTTCCTTAACAAGGTGCACAGGAGCTGAGCTGCGCTTTGCCCCCAGTGTAACTGGTGCGGTTTTTATTCATTTTAACTTGGCTGCAGACTCCTTTTTGAACCTGACTGATTTCTGGACCTGCAGAGCTAGACCCTGGCGAAGTTGGGAAACCCCTTTTGCAGGGGTACCCCAAGTTTTATTGCTCTTTAATGCATTGGGGCTCAGTGTCGTGCAGTCAGTGGCCTGGGGGACTAGGCTGGTCCCCTAAATGTTCCCAGTAAATTAGAATATTAAAGCCTAGCGCCTCCATCCCCAAACCCAGGAAGCTTCTGCTCAGCCTTAGGGCAGGAGGCACAATCCTCTGACTGACACACAAACCCCAACTGCCTTCACAAGCGTCGCCTCTGGGCCTACCTGTTCCCCTACGACCAATTTCACTGCATGCCGCTGTTGGGGCTCCTGGCAAGACCTCTTGGGCCTGGACCAGCCATCCCTCCTGCCTCCTGCCACTCACCGTGGAGAAGAACATGGTGAAGATGTAGACAGCAGCCTCCAGGATGTAGTTGCTCCGGACAGCGATCACCACCGGAGGCACAAACATGAGGTTGCTGAGGCAGAGAAGGAGGGTGGAGAGGAGCTGGAAGCCGTAGGAGAAGGCGGCTGTGTTGTCCGTGCAGCCCCAGCCGCTCCAGCCTGAGAGAGAGAGAGGGAGTCAGGGCTGGCAGCCACAGGGGGGACCCAGAACAAGAGATGCTGCCCTTAGGGATTGTTCTTAGGTAAATAACATAAATAAAGTATACTATTCATTTCACCAAATCGCAAATTTCAACGGAATTAACTCATAAAGTTCAACAAACGAACAAAGCAGAAGACCCGGTGGATCAGATCATTCTCTAGTCAGTTCATGCATAAGATCCATCTGTGCAATAGTGTCTGGGCTTCATCAGTAGGTAAAGCTCATATGTGATATTACAGGATGGCAAAACAAGGCCAATATTCCGGAAATCCTTGTCTTAGACTCTGTGAAAGGATTCTGTAACAACCTTTTATGTGGATTGTTTGGAACTTATGAACAGGTGGAATAGACACTATTACACAGATGGACCTTATGCATGAACTCACTAGAGAATGATCTGATCCACTGGGTTTTCTGCTTTGTTTGTTTGTTTACATTATGAGGTACGTCCGTTGAAATTTACGATTTGATGAAGTGGATAAAGGTAAAGGGACCCCTGACCATTAGGTCTAGTTGTGGCTGACTCTGGGGTTGCAGCGCTCATCTCGCTTTACTGGCCGAGGGAGCCAGCATACAGCTTGACTAAGCCACTTCTGGCGAACCTGAGCAGCGCATGGAAACACCACTTACCTTCCTGCCGGAGCGGTACCTATTTATCTACTTGCACTTTGACGTGCTTTCGAACTGCTAGGTTGGCAGGAGTAGGAACTGAGCAATGGGAGCTCACCCCGTCACAGGGATTTGAACCGCCGACCTTCTGATCGGCAAGTCCTAGGCTCTGTGGTTTAACCCACAGCGCCACCCGCGTCCCTGATGCAATGAATAGTATACTTTATTTACCTAAGAACACAGCCGGTAGGTCTCATGTGTTTATTCTGCTTTATGTGACCATAGGTTTGTTTTGCCATTAGGGATTGAGCCTGGGACCCCCCACTGAGCTGTGGCCCCTTCTCTTCCTCCCGGGCTCTGGTGACTGGGCAGAGCAAGGCAGCTTGCTCTGAGAGGACACTGGCATCGCCCGGCCTCCCTGGGGTCGCAGGTGGGCCAGGCTCCCTGCTCTGCAACCCAGACTCCCGGAGCAACTCACCCGCTTTGCACTCGCAGGCTGCATACAGGTAGTTGTTGGTGCGCAGGAGCTTGCACTGTCCGTAGGGGCCGCAGTCGTTAATGCAGGGGGACAGGTAAGTGCGCAGGTAGACCTCGGCCGTCACATTGCCACAGGGCTCCAGCCTGGCAAGGGGAGAAGGCAGGCAGCTGAGGACGGGGCAAGGGATCGGGGCACTGCAGGGTTCCTGTGGGAAGGGGCCTGAAAGGGAGGGAGGCAGTGTGGTGTAGGGGTTAGAGTGTTGGGTTAGGACCTGAGAGAACAGGGTTCAAATCCACACTGGCTGCATTTGGAGCCAGGCGCTGCCTCTCCACCTAAGCTACCTCACCAGCTTGTTGTGTGAGGATTAAATGATGAGTGGGAGGGGCACTTTGCAGGGGGTTGGACTTGATGACCCCTCTGGGTCCCCCCAACTCTACAATTTTGTATGCCCTTGGAGGCCCCTGGAGAATAAAAGATAAATGCAACAAACAAGCAAATAGAAGAAAGCCTTTGCAGAAGGAGGGGAGGGCGAAAGTGTTGGAAGAACCCTCCCCCTTCCTCTGGGCCCCTCCACCCCGCCCCCTAGACAAGGGTCAGGTCTTATTCGTCTTGCAGGTGTCGACCCCAAGCCCAGTGGGGTGCAGTGGGGCAGGTCTGCTTGTAATGACAGCAAATGCACACCCGGATCCCACTGGGGTGGGGGCAGAAGTGGCTTCAGAAGCAGGATTAAGCCCCCCATGTGTGTCCCTGGAAGGAACCCCCCCCCCATTACAGCCAGCCCCTGCTGGAAAAAGAGCCTTGGGGGGAGGGCAGGGGGTGGTCATTGTCTCTCCTGCTGGCAGCCTCACCCACGGTCGGCGGCACAGAGCAAGCGCAGACTCAGGTACCAGCTCCCAGTCTGGGGGTACGGGATCCGCAAGCGGGTCAGGGGGGCCGTGGCATTGATGGACAGGAGGTACCCCGCCAGCAGCTCTGCCAAGGGAGAGGAAAGCAGCAGGTGAGCCCAAAGGGTGGCCCAGAACGTCACCTGCTGGCCACCCACCCACCTTCCCACCTGGCAGGGGTGTCTCCCCTTCACTCTGCAGGGAGAGCAGCCCTGGCAAGCCACGGGGGGGGGGGGAGGCTAACCTGGCCTGAGCCTTACCTGTCTCGCAGGTGACTGAGGAGTTCTCTTCGGACGCCAACGGGACCTCGTGATTCAGGCAGGCGAAAACAGTGGCGTTCTCCCCTCGCAGAGAGGACTGTGGAAAGTGACAGCAGCCTCTGGTCTTACTGAGTTGTCAAATGTGCCGTTGAGCTCATTGCCTCAAGCTTTCTTCCATGGGGGGGGGCAGGGTGGTGTCCCAAACCCACCCACACTTACCCTGGACCACTTGTGAACTGCTGAGGGTCTTCGTTGACCGCTCACAGATTTTTCTGCCTGTTGTAGAAATTGTAATGCGCCGGGCCAGATGTGTAATTTTAAAATTTCAGTTTTCATTGCTTCACTTCTTTCTTATGTTGCATTTTAGTACATTAAATCCAATATAAGAAAGAAAAGTAGTAATAAAAATACAATTAAAAAATCAATGTGGGTATTTAATGCGGACGCATCACAGACTACCTGAATGAATGGGTTCCAGGTCTGGTTTCTGTTTTGATTTTATATTACGTATTTTGTATTCTCATTTTGCATTTTTCTGTTGTGAACTGCCCTGGGATCTTTGGACGAATGATGGTATACAAATTTAATAGAAGAAGGAGGAGGAGGAGGAGGAGGAGGAGAAGAAGAAGAAGAAGAAGAAGAAGAAGAAGAAGAAGAGGAAGAAGAAGAAGAAGAAGAAGAAGAAGAAGAAGAGGAAGAAGAAGAGGAAGAAGAAGGAGAAGGTGAACACAAACCGCTTGTCGTCAATAGACCACGGTCTGGGAACACTTGAGCTAGGACACAACAGATGGATGTTTAATATATTTTAAATAAAATTTAAAATTGTGGCACGAACCCTTCCTGAAGTTGGTGCATCAGACTATTAGTAAGAACAAAAGAAGAGCCCTGTATCTGGATCAGGCCAGTGGCCCATCAAGTCCAGAATCCTGTTCACACTGCGACCAGCCAAACGCCCCAATGAGAAAAACCCACAAGGGGGATTCAAGCACCATAGCCCCCGCCCCTCCTGCAGTTTCCAGCACCTGGGATTCAGAAGCATCACTTCCTCTGACCATGGCTAGTAGCTGTTAGAAGAAAAACTGCTCCTTTTCCCTTATGGATACTCAAGAGCCCGTACAGAGTCCTTATGAACTGTTACAACAGGGTCCCCCACGCAGGGAGGGAGGAGAGGAACCCAGAACAATGGTGCACAAGCTCTTATATAGACTTTTGAAATTGCCCCACCTGTAGCTCAAGACCACCCCCCAAAACATCATCCATACATCACAGAAGGAGGTGGTCTCCAGCAGAAATTTGAGAGTGTTGCTTCTCTCCTGTCTGCCAGGATACCTGATAAGGCCTTACTTGGTTGCCTTTTCTGGATAGCCTGGCCATTCCTTGGAGAAGGTAGATCCTTAGTTCCTGAATCTCTTCCGCATATTGAGAGTGTGCTCAGCGTAACAGATACTTGCCAGGCTGTATCTGAAAAGGGAGCTGTAAGCAGCCCCTACAGTCGAACACAATTGGAAAGCTTTTTCCATTTCCTTCCTCCCTGCAGAGAAATATTTGAGGTCCATTTGGGTGAGTCAAAATGGCTTCAGGATTGTTCTCCTGTACTATCTCAGACACACGGTTTATATACTTATGTATGTGTTTGTACATTTATAAACATTTATTTTATATATATAAGACCTTAGAATTCCTATAACAAAGCCATTGAGAGCCCTCCCCTTGTGATAGGAATTTTGAGGTCTTAGGTATATGTTCAATGTTTATAAGTGTACCAACCAAGCACATACATAGATCAGCACAGGAAGACCGACCTGAAACCATTTTGATTCCCAAACTGACCAAATGTTTTCCCTGCAAGGAGCGGGGGGGGGGGGGAGGTGGTCAGGGAGCCTTCCCATTGTCTCAGGAATTGAGTAATCAGCATTTTAATGGGGGACAATCAGGAAAGACAATCAGATAACCTGGCAAACAGGAAAAACAACATTCAAATTTCTGTTTTAGGCAGCCTTTTCTGTGATATATGTATGATGTTTCTGGGGGTGGTCTTGATCTACAGGGCGGCAATTTCAAAAGTCTATATAAGGCCTTGCACGCCATTGTTCTGGGTTCCTCCTTCCTCCTGCGTGTGGGGAGTGAGGAGCCTGTTGCAACAGATCAATAAAGATCAGGCTGCTTTGCTTCTCAATACAGTGGTGCCTCGCAAGACGAAATTAATTCGTTCCGCAAGTTTTTTCTTCTTGCGAGTTTATCGTCTTGCGAAGCACGATTTCCCATAGGAATGCATTGAAAATCAATCAATGTGTTCCTATGGAAACCGCCTTCAGACCAGGTCCGGGGACAATCTGTCCCCCGACCTCTTCTGAAGGCTGGGGGGGGGGGACAAGGGCTTTTCTTCCCACCCCCAGCATTTTAAAAAACCCCGGGACAGCGGAGGACTTCTCCACTGTCCGGGGCGATTTTAAAATGCTGGCGGGCGGCAGTGAAGCCTTCGCTGCTGCCCGCCAGCATTTTTAAAAACCCCAGGACAGCGGAGGACTTAAAAGCCCCCGGGAAGGCAGGCAGGGGGGAGCAAAGACTTTTGCCCCCCGCCAGCCTTCAGAAGAGGTCCAGGACCTCTTCTGAAGGCCAGCGTGGGGCAAAAGTCTTTGCTCCCCCCCGCCGGCCTTCAAAAGCCGTCCGGGATAGCGGGAAGCGCTTCCCTGCTATCCCGGACTGCTTTTAAAATGCTGGCGGTGGGGAGCAAAGCCTTTCGGCCCCCGCCGGCCTTCCTGAACCTCTTCTGAAGGCCGGAGGGGGGGAAAGGCTTGGCTCCCCACTGCCAGTGTTTAAAAGAGGTCCCCGGAGATTTCCCTATGGGCTTTCTTCTTGCGAAGCAAGCCCATAGGGAAATTCGTCTTGCGAAGCAACTCGCAAACGGAAAACCCTTTCGTCTTGCGGGTTTTCCGTCTTGCCAGGCATTCGTCTTGCGGGGCACCACTGTATTCTCTGGTTGGCCTCTGTTATTCTCTCCTACCAATAGGGAACCCACGTAAGGACTCTATATCGGCTCTTGGATACCCCATAAGGGAAAAGGGCAGTGATTTTGTATACAACACCCTCCTCCATGGATTTGTCTCATTTAAAGCCATTGGGGTTGGGGCCATGACTGGGATCGAATTCCATGTTCAGCCTCAGCACCCCACACTCCAGCTGGGGCCCCACAGGCCTGAGCTCCCCGCTCCCTTGCCAGCGCTTCCCTTGCCCCCTGCCCACTCTGAGGTCCCACAATCTGAGCCCCCCACCCCACCCCCCACCGGGAGACTCACCACATTCAGCCTGAGCTCCAGGTTGAGGGCTCCTCCGCTGTCCAGGATGGGCAGGAGGTTGATGGCAAAGACGGCCGGCCGGTCGGGGGGCACCGAGACGTTGGGGCCAAAGAAGATGTAGAAGTGGACGGAGAAAGTGTCTAGCTCATTGCGCAGGGTGGGGCGGATGGGCCGGCAGCACTCGCCGGCCGCTGGCCCCGGGCTGGGCGCCGGGCGCTGGGTGCTGTTGAGCGCAGAGGGGGGCAGGACCTCCGCCAGGGGCAGCCCCCCCATGGAGCCAAAGGAGTGGGGCATGTTCAGGCTGGAGCCAGGCAGCTGGAAGAGGGCGCGAACCAGGCCAGTCCGAGAGCAGTCTGGGGGGGAGGAAGGAGGAGAAGGGGGGCAGGTCAGAGGGCAGGTGCTGGCAGGGCCCCCGCACCCCCACCAGGTCTGTCTGACTGTCTGTCCCCTCTCTTGGCTCCCAGACCTCCCAGGCTCTGAACCCACGCTGGGCAAGGGCCAGGAACCCCCCCACAGCCTTGCACCGCTTGGCGATTGTGGTGATGTGTAATGGTATTATTTCAATGCAATAATAATATTATAATAATTTAAAATTTATACCCGCCCATCTGCAGTCAAACCAGCAATCCATGTTTTGCTGGACAGGAGCTGAAGCTCATGGAGTTTTCCTGTAAGTTTGCAAGGGGGAACTCTGTGAGAGAGACTCCCACTGGGCCATAGCTGTAGATATTCTGCTTACCTGCAAGGTCTTCTCCTCGCCTCTTCACCACCAAGCCAGAAATGGGAGGACATCTGCTAAGTCTGAGTTCCAATTCAAGCTAGACTTAAGGATGCCTTTGTACCCAAATTGCCATTGTACGCCTGTCTGAGCAAAGCTGCTATATCTGAGTATTCTGATTACAGGTAGGTAGCCGTGTTGGTTTGCCGTAGTTGAAACAAAACAAAATAATTAAAATAAAATAACATAAAAAATAAAAAATTCCTTCCAGTAGCACCTGTGAGACCAACTAAGTTAGTTACAGTGGTACCTCGGATTAAGTACTTAATTTGTTCCGGAGGTCCGTTCTTAACCTGAAACTCTTCTTAACCTGAAGCACCACTTTAGCTAATGGGGCCTCCTGCTGCTGCCGCGCCGCCGGAGCATGATTTCTGTTCTCATCCTGAAGCAAAGTTCTTAACCCGAGGTACTATTTCTGGGTTAGTGGAGTCTGTAACCTGAAGCGTATGTAACCTGAGGTACCACTGTATTGGCATGAAGAAGTGTGCATGCACATGATAGCTCATGCCAATAACTAACTTAGTTGGTCTCTAAGGTGCTACTGGAAGGAATTTTTAAAATTATTATTATTTTAATTATTTTATTTTGTTTTGAGTATTCTGAGTAAATGTTATTTGCACCCTCCTCACCCAGCCCCTGATTCTTCCTTAGCTGAGGATTGAAGGAGCCTCTCTGTAGCTTGCCTTGTTCCTCGTCCGCTTGCAGATTCCCAGGAGGCCTTTGTAGACCCCCCCTGCCTGCTCTGCCGATCCTGCCCCAGTTCCTCCCACCCCACAGCCACCCAGCCCAGCCCCTCGCTCACCCTTCAGCTGCACCACCAGCTGGAAGTTGACGTTGGTGGCCACTCCCAGGTACTTCTCCACCAGGATGTAGTACCAGTTCTGCCAGAATGGGAGGTCCAGGGCCAGGCGGCAGGTGGGGCGCCCCCGGCAGTCCACGGCGGTGGAGTTGTGCAGGGGGGGCGCCTTGCCGCGCACTTTGAGCCACAGCGGGCAGCCCTCCCCGCTCTGGTTGGCGCCGTGGCAGTTCCTCAGCTGCACCAGCACCCGGGATGTGTAGCTCGGGATGAAGACCCTGGAGAAGGCATGAGGGGGAGATTGGTTGGTTGGTTGGCTGGTTGGTTGGTTAGTTGATTGGTTGGTTGATTGATTGATTGATTGATCCAAGGATCTAAAGGGCTCCCACCCTGCCCGTCAGCCCTGGCTCTCCCTTCAGAGAGAAGCAAAGTGCCTTTGAGCCCCAGGACTCATTCCTGGGGGGAGGAGGTGGGGGCTCTGAGCCAGGAGGAGCTCATCCCAGGCTGCCTGCGGGGGGCCAGCCCTACCAGGAGGCCATGTGAGGTGGCTGCCTCAGGTGACAGATGCAGAGGGGCGAAGAACAGACTGCTGGGTGTGCACCATGGGCTGGTTATGCCAGCTTTGAGTGCAGGAAGCTGCTGGCCCACTCCCAGGGAGGAAGGAAGAGTCAAGGGCCAGTCTGGCCAGAATGGGGGGGGGGCATTTCTCCATTGCCATGTGTCTGGCACTGGCCCCCTCCTGCTGGGCAAGGAAAGGTGGGGCTTGGGGAAGAACTAGGGGGCAACTAAGGAGACCCTTGGCTTTTCTTTAGGGATGCAGTTCCAGCCCTTGAGACTGCAAAGTGTTGAGTGTTGGGGGGGGCAGGATTACTGGGGGGGGCACCTCATGACCCTACACCACCCCTTCCTCTTTGCCATGCGGACTTCCAAGGAAAGGCAAGGTTGAATCCAGCAGGAAGGCTGGGACCTGCATTAATTGATTATGAGAATCAAGCAAGTCTTCCTGTAGGTGTCCCACAGCATGATTAATTATGCAAATGAGGTCACTCTTCATGCAGATGCACCTCTAGCATTATTCATTATGCAAATGGGGTCACTCTTTGTGTATATGCCCCTCTAGCATTATTAATTATGCAAATTAAGTCACTCTTCCCATAGGTGTCCCTCTGGCGTTATTAACTATGCAAAAGAGCTTATTCTTCCCACAGGTGCCCCTTTAGCGTGATTAATTATGCAAATCAAGTCGCTCTTCCCCTGGGGACCCTGCTAGCATTTTCCCTCCTTCTCCTCTTCCCTACAAGCAGGGGCAGGGCATCTGTGGCGGTGGCGCTGTCTCCTTTGCACACTCACTTGTACAGCAGGGAGCGGTTGTGGGGGGAGAGGACGTGCTCCGTCACATAGCCGGGGTACAGCACCCCAATCCCCACCAGGCGCTGGACGATGAGCTGGGGCTGGAAGAGGTACTGGCAGTCCTCAGCAAGGCCCTGTTGGCGGGGGGGGGACACAGTTAGAAGGGGGACCCCCAGGACCCTCAGTCGGGCGAGTGGCCCAGATTCACCACCAGAACTTTCAGGAGGACCCACACCCACACAGTTGCCAGGATGACACCAAGCTGGCAGCCAGGCACCCCACCCCCAGCAAGCTATAGACTGCCCAATCACAGCAGCACAGCATTCCCGCCCCCCCCCCCAGCCTGGTGATCAGCTGTGATTCCTGGGGCTGGACTAGATGACCCTTTGTGCCTCTTCCAACTTTTCTACTATTTTTGTGGTCTGCAAAGAGGGCAAGCAGGGCTGTGCCCTGGCAACCCCCTTTCCCCATCACCCTCTGGGCCCCACTTCAGATTTCCACAGGGCTGCACCAATTGCCCCTCTCCCTAAACCTCCTGTGCTAATAATAATAATAATAATAATAATAATTTATTATTTATAACCTACCCATCTGGCGGGGTTTCCCCAGCCACTCTGGGCTGCTTCCAGCAAAATATAATAAGTGGGTAGGTGGAAGGCCTATACATAAGACGTTGGGTGCTTGGTTGTAGAGGGGCTGGCTTAGAGCTGGGGCTGAAGGCAAGGAGTGGCCAAAGAGGGGGCTGGAGGTTGTGAGTGGGGCTGGGCTGCTGGCGTTCATCCCCAAGAGTCGAGCCAAGATGAGCTGCCTTGTACTGGGCCAGATTCCCTTGGAGCTCATGGGCGCTCCTTCCTTAGAGGTTTTCAAGCCCAGGTTGGATGGCCGTCTGTCAGGGATGCTTTATTTGAGATGCCTGCATCCAGGGGGTTGGACTAGATGACCCCTCGGTGTCCCTTCCAACTCTATGAGACCACCTGCCCTCACAGCCCAGAGCTTTTCACCTTGACTGCTGGCCACATCTCACTGCTTCAGGTCTTCCCCAGCCCTAGTCAAGAGACTCTCTTAACTGAAGGAAAAGCCTTAATAAAAACTATTTAACAAATAATAATGAAGGAGTCACCCTCACCTAGGGCCGGCCCACCCATGAGGCAAGGTGAGGCAGCCCCCTAGGTCAGGAAACTCTGTGACCCTTCCCCAGCCCAGCCCTGGCTGGCCAGCCGAGCGTCTGCCTCACCTTGACGGAGATCTTGCCCTGCTCTTTGGGCAGGTGGGCAGCCAGGAACCAGTCCCCAGGGAGGGGGCTGGTGATGTTGAAGACGCCCGTGGTCCTGTTGGGCAGGGTCCAGGTGAGCGTGAGGGCAAAGGAGCCTGGCACAGCTGTGTCCCGGGGGAAGTGGGTGCCCAGAGGGTTGATGACGGGGGGCGCCCCAGAGCGGAAGTACCTGCCAAGGAAAGAGGGGGAAGGTGAGCAGCAGAGCCAGTGTGTGTGTGAGAGAGAGGGGGGGATTCAGAGGGAGGGGGGAAATGGAGAAAATTGGGGGTGGGTGGGTGTTTTTATTTATTTATTCCACCCTGTGCCCAGGCCAGCAAGCTACAAAACAGCAACAGCAACACATTCAAAGCTCAAATGAGGGGTGACTGAGTCATAGACTCAGAGTGGGAAGGGACCCTGAGGATCATCTAGTCCAACCCCTGCAAGGCAGGAAGATGCAGCTGTCCCATTTGGGGAATCGAACCTGCAACCTTGGCGTTCCGAAACCTCTCTTTTGAGTTGGGGAAATCTATCCCCAGTGTATCCTGAGCAGATTCCTGTCCAGCCTATCTCCTTTTTTGGGGGGGGCTCCCAGGACAGAGTCTCCAAGCCGGCCATAGCCCCCTTGACAGCCCTCCCTGTGGCCAATCTAGCCTGAGGGAAGTACAGTCCATCTTCCCCCCCTTCTTTCCATCCCACAAACAGATGCTTGCCTGCTTGCCATCCCATCAACACCTCCAGCCAAGGTTCAGGCCATCAGGGCTGCTGGGGGCAAAGAGAGTGTTTGGGGGCATTCTTGCTCCCCCACGCCTGGAATAGTTTGGGAAATGTTGTGGAAGCTCACTCCTCTCTCTGTCCCATCTCCTTCAGAATTGGGGGGGGGCTGCAGAACCTCTGCTGCAGGTTTCCCTGACAGGCGATGCCAAAAGTGTGACAGGTGGGCCACCCTGTGATTGCCATGCATCAATCTCCCCTGCCCCCCCCCCCGGCCTGGCCTGGCTCCCCCCACCGTGAGCCCCTGTGGGAGGGAGGAGTGGGACCCTCCTGCCAGAGAGGGGTTCTGGTTTCTTCTCCCCCTTGCTGGGGACTTGGCAGGAAGTGGTTTTCCATCCTCGTTCCCCATTTTCTCCTGCGGGGAAGCAGATGGCGATGGGAGGGGTAGGGGAGCACTCCGGTTGCCTTGGAGAAGCAACCATCGCTTCTTCCTTCCCCTTATTCTTTCGAAATTTCATTTCAGTGCTGGGTTATTAATATTGATCTTCAGCGTCGTGGTCTGTGTGTTTGTGTGTGTGTTTGTGCTCACGTCTCTGTGTGTGCGGCTTGGAAGGGAAGGAGCAGGAAGATGACTCATGCGGAAGATGGTTCCCTATCTGGAAAACTCAGGAAACGTTCCAGGCAACAGGTGGTCCACTTGGCCAATGCCTCTTCCACCCTCTGAGCCTGGCTGGAGATGCCCACCAGAGCCACCTCTTTGGGGGAAGCCATGACCACCGAAGAGGCCCAAGGGTGCTTCAGGTGCCCAGGTCCTTTCCCCCGCCTCCCGCTGCATAGACGTGGTGAGACAGCTGGGACTTCTCCTCAACAGAAATCTCCTTGACATAGCTATCCATAATATCCGTAGGTTCTGGTATAGAGGACAACTTGTTAACCCCGGAAAAGAGGTTTAAAAGTCTGGGGTCAGCTTATACGCCGGGTATGGCTGCACTGGGCAGCAGGCTCTGCTCCACACCGGGAGGAACCCGCCCAGCGAAGCTGCCCAGGGATGCTAAGCCGGCTTCGTTGGGCGGCTAACTCCTGGTGCGGAGCCCACCACCCACTGCTGCTGCCCAGCGAAGCTGCTGAAGCGTATAAGACGACCCCCCAAATTGGCAGCTGCCAATTTGGGGGGTTGTCTAATACGCCCAGCCGCCTAATACGCAGGAATCTACAGTACCATATTTTTTGCTCCATAAGACGCACTTTCCCCTCCTAAAAAGTATGGGGAAATGTGCGTGCGTCTCATGGAGCAGGCGGGAGGCTCTGCTCAGCGCTCCCTTTAAAGAGTGCACAGAGCGTGTGTGCGGCTCTTGTTGGCTTTTCCCCGAGGAGGGAGAAGGGCAGCCCATCAGTCCCTCCTCCCTCCTCGGGGAAAAGCCCCCAAGAGCCGCACACACGCTCCGCGCACTCTTTAAAGGGAGCGCTGAGCAGAGCCTGTGTGTGGCTCTTGCTGGATTTTCCCTGAGGTGCGAGAGGGGACAGACGGGCTGCCCTTTGTCCCTTCCCCACCTCACAGAAAAGTCAGCAAGAGCCACACACAGGCTCAGCTCGGCTCTTTAAAGGGAGCGCTGAGCAAATTCAGAATATTTTTTTCTTGTTTTCCTCCTCTAAAAACTAGGTACGTCTCATGGTCGGGTGCGTCTTACAGAGCGAAAAATACGGCAGATCACTGCAATGCATTATACAAAGGGCTGCTTTTGAAGTCTTACCAGAAATTTCCATAAGCCCAGAATCCTCACTGGGGCAGCTTGAAGGAATGGGCCTCAGCAGCCCCACTGGCTACAGGTCCTTCTCCAGGCTCAATCACCTTTCAGTCCATAGCTTGGCCTGGGGGCCCCTCAAGGATTCTGTCCCCATTTGTGCATTGAGAGCCTCATCAGAGACATTTCTCCAGGGGCCTCTCTTAAATATTGTGAACTGCTTTGAGACCCAAGGTGAAAGGCTGCTTCGATTTTATGTTTCAATAAAATGAAATGAGCAATAATTTGGACTACACAGAGAAGAGTTTGGATTTGATATCCCACTTTATCACTACGCTAAGGGGTCTCAAAGAGGCCAACAATCTCCTTTCCCTTCCTCCCCCACAACAAACAGTCTGTGAGGTGAGTGAGGCTGAGAGACTTCAGAGAAGTGTGACTGGCCCAAGGTCACCCAGCAGCTGCAGGTGGAGGAGCGGGGAAGCGAATCCAGTTCACCAGATTACGAGTCCACCGCTCTTAACCACTACACCACACTGGCTCTCACTACACCACGGAGTACAAGGTTCCCTCGCTAGGTCTGCCCCATTCTGAGCATTCCCCAAGAGATCAAGAAGCACTTGGCTGTCCATCTGACCTCAGGAGGGATGGCGTTGCAGGACAGGCCTGGCTAACAGATTTCAGGCTCATGAACCCTCTCCAATCTCACTGCAACATAGACACCACAGGAGGATGCAAAATGAAGAGGCAACACCCAGCTCTTTCTCCTGGAAGCAGCCGGGACCCTGTCCCAAACCCAGCACTGCCCACTCTGGGGAAGCGGTGGGCACAGGGGCAGCAGGAGTCTGGGCAGCCAAGAGGCTGAGGTTTCTACCTCCCTCCTTCCCCTGACTCACACAGTGATGCTTCGGTCTGGGCACTGGTCCCCAAAGGTGCCCCCCTGCTCTTTGAAGGTGATGAGGTTCCAGACGGCCACGACGGTGTCCTCTGGGATGCGGAAATGGAAGAGCTCGATGCTGGTGAAGGAGCGGAAGGGGTTCAGCTTGCGGGGGGTCCGGGTGAAGTAATCGGTGACAAAGAGGCCTCTGAGAGAGAGGAGAGGAGAGAAGTGGCAACACTGGACCTCCTCAGAGTAGCCCTTCCTTCCCCCACCCTCTCCACCAGTCTGCACAGAGCACTCAAAATCCCATGTTTGCTAGGTGACCAAAGGATTAAGACACATGGAGTTTCCTGCACAGTCCCAGGCTCTCTGTGAGGTCACTTCCTCTGCTTGCCCAGGTGGGAAGGGAAACAACAGGAATATCACTTTCTGCCACCTGAGGAACAGCTTCTTTCTTTCTCGTCATGCAGCCACAGGGAGAGGATACAGGGCCTGGGCACAGACACCATCTTTGATCTAAACCAGGCACAGGCAAATTCCAGCCCTCCAGATGTTTGGGACCACAATTCCCATCATCCCTAGCTAACAGGACCAGTGGTCAGGGATGATGGGAATTGTAGTCCTAAACATCTGGAGAGCCGGAGTTTGCCGATGTCTGATAAACCATATATTTTGTCATCTAGAAATCTGTTTTGCCTGACTTATTTCACTGTTATTTTCAGCTTGATTCACAACTGCAACTTTATGTGATTCAGCAATATTTTTATATTCTTACATTGCAGACTTCTGTGTTGTTACTTTGTTCAGAGGGATAATTGTAGAAAGTGACATAGCTTTGTCCCACGTTTCCGTGTTAACGCTGCAAAGGGCGGTATATTTTTAACTCTGTTAAACCAGACTCTAATCTTGCTCAAGTGAGTTAGCAGAAGGATAATTAATAAATAATATATCCTATTATACTTTCCAAATCCATCCCAACCATTCTCCCCCTTTATGTTGCAATGCCCTGTCCACATGGCCAGCCCCTCTCCAGACATCTCTCACAGGGGCAAACAGTCAGTGAGCCCCACGCATTCGCTTTTCCAGCCCTGCCAGGAATTAGGCCCATTGACCCAGCCCCTGTCTAGGCCAACCCCAAATGGCAGACCAAAGCTAGAAATGAGAATCTCTCTCACCCCCAAATTAATTAATACACAAACCTTGTCCTTCCCAGCTGCTGCCCCTCCCACCACACCCCTTGTGCACCTGTGTGAGACGCAGCCATGAGCATGTTGGGGGGGGGCGTGCCAACGCCTCACTCCCCACCCAAATCTGCCCTCTTCCTTGGAAGATTAACAGGTCTCCTTCCAGCTGAGAGAGAGAGGGGACTTTGAGGTCCTCCTAGGGGTTGGCCAGTTTGGTTCCCACCAAGGGTCGAGACCCAGGGGAGGGCGCAAAAGCTGCACCTCTCCACTCTGGCTCCTCTGGCGAGGGTGCAAGGCAGCTTAGGGGCCCCTCTGCTTTTAAGGTGCGGCATTGACATAAGACTCAAACACCGTTTAGTGTAAGGAGACTTTCCCTCAGCAGTCCTCAGAGCAGGGAGCCTTCCGTCAAGCTCCTGCCCTAGCCAGCCACAAACAGCCTCCACAGATCACCTGTTGCCTAACAGGTGGGCATTGCCTGGCACTCCCTGCTCCATCCCTGTAGGAGCAGCCCAGATTAACTCATTTCCAGCAGGAGGAGGAACAAGCAAGAAATCGCAAGGCCATTCTGTGCAGAGCAGCGAGATTTCTCTCCTACTCTGCAGAGGATGGGAAAAAACACGCTCCAGCTTCAGAAGTGAGAGAAGGCAGCAGCTGACAAAGAGAGGAGCCCCTGCCATGGCTGGTGTGTGGGAAGAGAGAAGCAGCATGGCTTCCTTTGTTTTGCAGGAGACGGATGGGAACCTGCTCTGCTTCTCTCTGCAAGGGGGCAGCAAGGGAGGGGGAGGCCAAGACCGGCAGCTTTGCTTATGATGCAGTAGCAGCCCAAGGAGCCCCTAAGAAGAAACACAGAGCCTGCTGCCTCTGACCAGCTGGTCCGGCATCCTCTTCTCACAGCGGCCAACTGGGCGCCTGTAGGAAAGCGGCCAGCAGGATCTGAGCACAAGAGCAACTCCCCCCTCTTGCAGTTGCAGCCACACGCGCTAAACCCTGTCTGGGGTGCCCCCCCCCTTTACCCCAAATGATGAGACAAGAGACCAGAGCAGGGGCTCAAATTGGCCACAACTTGATTGAGCTTCAGAAGTGGGAAACTTGGCAGGTCACCCTCTCAGCCCGCCTGGCTGAGGATATGCAGGCAGATGAGGTCCAGTGAGAGAGGACTGAAAAGCGCAAACCTTCCACCAACCTCGTCCCGGAAGTTTGACCTACATGCCGCCACTCAAGCAAGTGGGTGGTACCTGCCCAGGTGAGCCCCGCTGGGTGCCGCAAACCCTGCCCACCTGTGGGGAAGGGAGGGCGGAAATTCCCAGCAACTGAGATTGGGAAGCATTGCTGCCTGTGACTGTGGTGAACAGAGCAGAGCCATCCTGGCTAGGAGTTACTGACACCCCCTTACTTCATGAATTTGTGCAATCCTGTTTTAAAGCCATCAGGTTGGTAGCCTCCTGGGCAAGTGAGTTCCACAGTTTAACCCTCTGCTGCATGAAAAGGGGCTTTCTTTTATTTGCCCTGGATAGACTGGTTCTCTCTCTCTCTCCAGCATATGAGAGTGCAGCTGCCTACTGGTTCCTTGCCTCTCTATGACCAGGGGAGCATTTGGAATTGTGGTGGCTTTCACAGCAGTGTCTTAACACACCATGTGTGGCCTATAGCCAGCCTGGCCAACAGGGTGGCTGCTTCACTCTGAACCAGCCCAAGTTTCTGAACACTCTTCCTGGACAGTTCTTTGGGGATTGCACTGCAGTAGTCCAAGCAAGATGTAACGAAGGAATGTCTCCATCTGGCCAGATCTGATGTCTACGCAAAAGCACTCCTGGCCACTGCTGGAGTCAGGACATCCAGCCTCAGGGCTCAGTCAGGGTGTTCCCCCAAATGGCCAGCAACTAAGTCCTTGACCAGATGAGCCCCTCCTCCCTGTCCTTTCTTTTCTTCTGGCCAGGACCTGGCTGTCTGGCCTAGACTGAACCTGAGGTGCCTACACTTCTTCAGATGCACACGAAAGCTCATACCAATAACAAACTTAGTTGGTCTCTAAGGTGCTACTGGAAGGATTTTTTAACCCCCCCCCCCGACTACAGCAGACCAAGACGGCTACCTACCTGTAACTAGAACTATGGAAGGCACCACCCTGAGTCGCATGAAGAGAAAAGAACTGTGCAAGTTTTGGTCCAAGAGAGCAGGAGGGCCTGAGGCTGGGCATGGCTGCCTCAGTTCAATGGCCAAGGGTGTGCCAATTCCCAGCAGCCGCTTCCTCAGGTAGGGCTGGGCAAACCCTAGAGAGTCACTGCCAGGCAGTGCCAACAGCACTAAGCTGGCTAGACCGAGGGCCTGGCTTGGCAGCTTCCTAGCCACCCCCTCCCTTCTCTGTGAAGCACAGTGTCCCTAGGTGATTTTATATAACAAACAAGCGAGCCTGGAGCCCCTTTGCAATGGCCTTGCATCTGAATCTAGCGGCCTCTCCTGAGACCACCTGCTGCCTTTAGGGTACCCAGATTTGGGGAAAGGAGATCACAGGATGGCTTCTGAACTCCCTCACAGCCACGATGCTGGCAATCCCTTTCTTCCCCCTGGCATTTGCTGGGCAAAGGCACACTCCACCTTCTAGCTGAGAGCGAGCGGAGAGCGGCGACGTGCGCATTCCAAGTCTCCAGAGAAGACAAAGAGGAGATGCCTTAATGAGGGCGATCCCCTCCGAGCCTGCAGGCGAGCGGCCTTAATGGGAAATCCCAGCAGGAGCTGCCCAGACTCCGGAGCCTCCCGGGGGCGCGGAGAAGACAGCCCAGCCGGGGGCTTTGCAGGAGCAAAGGAGCGGAAGCCCCCCCCCCCCCGCCAGGCACGTCCTTGGCGAGGCGTGTTGGGAAGCGCATGCATGTAAACAGAGGAGGAGGCTCCAGCTGGATGATGCCCACTGCCCGGGGAGCGCGGCGCTTCCCTCCGAACAAAGCCCGCGCATCGCGCATCGCCCAGGCTGTAAATCAGGCTAAGTGCTGTCAGCCTCCGCCATAAAATACTTTTTTGTAAGTTCAAGGGAGCACATATAATATTCTGCCAGCCATTTCCCTCTCCATGAAAATGATCTCATTATTCTTGCTGAAAGCCATCAATTACCAGGTAATTAAATGTCCTGGGATGTTAGTGACAGTATCACTAAATCTACGCCCGGAGTTATGAAGCCCGGCAAGCCACGGACGCCGCCGGCTCCAGAGAACGATCGGCGGGCAAGACCCAGGCAGGAGGGTGTCCATTAAAAATGGCAAATGTGCCCCCCCACGCGCGCGCATGACCTCCTATTTAGCGAGGGAGGGGAGGAACACCGGGCTGGGAGAGTGGGAAATGGGCCAGCGAAAGCAGCGGAGGCGGCAGTTCCCCAGTTGGGAGCCAGGAGAGGATTAGGCAATGAGAGCGCCGGGGGAGAGCCCTCGTGGTTTATTTAACCAGCAACGTAATGACGGGTAATTTATTCCCGTGATTGAATTTAGACGGAGAGGACAGGAAGGGGCCACCGAGGCTGCAGACAAAGGGGACTCTGTGCGCGGGGGAGAGAGAAGCGATGGTACTGAGAGGCGGCTCGGAGGAGGACAAGGCGCTTGCCTGTAAATCTCTTCCCAAAGCCCACCTGGTCCGTGTGACCCGCGCATCAGGCGAAAGGGAAGCTTAAGCCCCCGGGGCGACCGGGGCTCCCCCCCCCGCACATCCTTCGACCGCTGCCCCCTCCCTCCTTCCGACCCGTGGAGGGTCTTTGCATCGCTCCCCTCACTGTAATGTCCTCAGGGCAGAGACCTGGCGCGCGCGCGCGCATCTGCCCACTTGTTTTACTCTGGAAAACAACATTATTATTCATTAAATTTCACCCGAAGATCACAGGGCGGTTTACAGTACAAAACGCGAACTGCTGGTAACCAGTTTACAATTCAGAGGGACACCTCTGAGGCTTCCCTGCTCGATTATCTCAAAGCCCTTTTTTAGGAGAGGGGCGTAAATCCTTAGCGGTCGGAAAGTGGCGAGCAACTCCCCAGAGAACTACCGGGTAGAGGGCAAACGGGGCCGGTCGGGCAGGCTGTGGCGACCCTCTCCCCTCCCCCAGCCAGCTGGAAGGCAGCTCCAGCTCCGGCTCCCGGCCGCCCCCTCCCTCCCTTTCAGCACCAGGGCGGGGGACAGCACCCCGGGCCTCCCAGCCGCGGCCTCTCTTTCAGCACCGGAGCGACGCCTTCAGCACCACGCCGCGCCCGGACAGCTCCCGGCCGCCGCGCCCGTTTCTCTTCCCGCGGGGGGGGGGGAGGCGCTGGTTCCGAGACGCGCGTTGGGGGGGGCGCCCTTCTCCCTCCCCCCCCGGGCTCTCCCCTCCCCACTCACCGGCCGGGCGTCCCAAGCTGAGCCAGGCCAGCAGCTGGAGCAGCAGCTGGAGCCGCCCCAGAGCCGCGCGGCCCATGCTGCGCCCGGAGCCGAGCCGCCGCCGCCGCCTCCCCGCCCGCCTGGACGCTGGGGCTGCCGCGCTCCAGCAACAGCAGCAGCAGCAGCCATGACGTCAGGCTCAGCTGCCGCCCGGAGCCTCCGCGCGTCCCCCATTGGCCCAGCGCACGAGGCTGCCTGGGGAGGCCACGGCCCATTGGCCGCCGGAGCTGCCCGTCACTCGCCGCTCTGCAGCGCCGGCCGCCTCCGGACCAGAGACCGGCCAGATGCTGGAAGAGGAGGAGGAGGAGGAGGAGGAGGAGGAGGAGGAGGAGGAGGAGGAGGGCGCCTGGCGGAGCTGCCCGGCTGGGGGAAGTTCGCGGGGGGGGGGGGCGTTCCGAGTGCCTTGGTAGAGCAAGGGAGAGACTCTGAGAGGGCCCTGGGGGTGAGCCGCCAAGCCCTCCTTGCCCCTGCCCTCAGAGTCTGCTGGGCCCACCGGGGAGTCTGGGCTTCCCCACCATCTTCCAGCCCCACAGAAGGAGCAGGAGGGCATTCCCTCCGTTGACCGGGTCGCTACCCCAAAACCAGAGTGTCCTGCCCAAGCAGAGGATGAACGTTGAAGGAGGGGGTGAACGGGTTGGCCCGGCCCCCGCAAAACAAGTTGACTGATTCCTCCCCGCCCCCCACGCGAGACAATTGCAGGGGAATCTGTGGAGCTTGACGCACAGACACCCCCTCCACGCACGTCAATTCCACGCTTTCGCTTCCCTGCTTCCAGCTCAGCACGAGGCACCTGAATTCCCAGACTCGCGGGGATGACTTAAGCAGCGGCACAGCCCCGTCTGGGTGTGACCCCCCCAAGGGAGCATTGCCTCACTTGGCCGGCAGAGACCTGGCCGGGAGGAGCGGAGTCCCGAGTCAGCCCAGTCCTTGTGGCAGAGAGGCAGAGGCAGGGCTGGTGTCGAGCACGCGACCGGCCACGGCAGGCGCGCGGAGTTCCTCCGTGCATGGTTTCTTCCTGCGCGCCCCCTCCACGCTCCCGAAAGAAACACGCACGCGAACAAAAGTAACTTGTGAAGTATCCTTTGGCCTGGGTACCATCCTGCTCAAGTAGCCGAAAAGGGTCTTCCTGAAGGTCTCTTGCTGAGCTATGATAGTCGCTGTGTTTGGAAGGAAAGCCTGCAGGATCCATAGCCCGTCTAGTCCAGCCTCCTGTTCTCCCACTGACCAGTCAGATGCCTGCGGGATCCAGAAACAGGATCCGAGCACAAGGGCCCTCTGCCCTCCTCTGGTTTCCAGCCAGTGGCCTTCAGAAGCATTGCTGTCTCCAACTGCTGAGGCAGAACAGAGCCCTTGTGGGAATAGTCCTCTTCTCCATGAATTTATCTAATCCTCTTTGAAAGCTGCTCAGGTTGTTGGCTAGCATTGCTTTCTGTGGGAGGGAGTGTTCCACATTTAACTATGTGCTGCATGGAAAAGTACGCAGGGTGAGACCCTACCTGCCAGCAGACTGTCTGGCCAGAGTGGTGCATGCTCTATCTCCCACTTGGACTACTGCAATGCGCTCTACGTGGGGCTACCTTTGAAGGTGACTCGGAAACTACAGCTAATCCAGAATGCGGCAGCTAGACTGGGGACTGGGAGCGGCCGCCGAGACCACATAACACCAGTCTTGAAAGACCTACATTGGCTCCCAGTACGTTTCCGAGCACAATTCAAAGTGTTGGTGCTGACCTTTAAAGCCCTAAACGGCCTCAAAGGCCCAGTAGACCTGACGGAGCGTCTCCATCCCCATCGTTCTGCCCGGACACTGAGGTCCAGCTCCGAGGGCCTTCTGGCGGTTCCCTCATTGCGAGAAGCAAAGCTACAGGGAACCAGGCAGAGGGCCTTCTCAGTGGTGGCGCCTGCCCTGTGGAACACCCTCCCATCAGATGTCAAAACGATAAACAACTACCTGACATTCAGAAGACATCTTAAGGCAGCCCTGTTCAGGGAAGTTTTTAATGTATGATATTTTAGTGTTTTTTTGTTTCTATGGAAGCCGCCCAGAGTGGCTAGGGAAACCCAGCCAGATGGGCGGGGTACAAATAATAAATTATTATTATTATTATTATTATTACAGTGGTACCTCGAGTTAAGAACTTAATTCGTTCTGGAGGTTCGTTCTTAACCTGTTCTTAACCTGAGGTACCACTTTAGCTAATGGGCCTCCTGCTGCTGCCGTGCTGCCGCCACACAAGTTCTGTTCTCATCCTGAAGCAAAGTTCTTAACCCGAGGTACTATTTCTGGGCTAGTGGAGTCTGTAACCTGAAGCATCTGTAACCTGAGGTACCATGGTACTTCTCCTGAATCTCCCAACATTGAGCTCTAGTGTTATGAAAGAGGAAGAAACACTTTTCTCTATCCATTTTTCTCCATAGAATCACAGAATTGTAGAGTTGGAAGGGACCCCAAGGTTCATCTAGTCCACCCCCTGCAATGCAGGAATCTCAACTAAAGCATCCCTGACAGATGCCCATCCAGCTTCTGCTTAAAAACCACCAATGAAAGAGAGTCCACAACCTCTTAAGTTGTCCTCCCAGTTTGGTGTCATCTGTAAATTGGATGAGCATCCCCTCAATTCCTTCATCCAAGTTGTTTATAAAGACGTTCACACTTCAAAACGACCTGGACAGATTAGAGAACTGGGCGAAAACAAACAAGATGAACTTTAACAGGGAGAAATGTAAAGTATTGCACTTGGATGTCATATAGAGGAGGGAGAAAGGTTGTTTTCTGCTGCTCCAGAGAAGCGGACACGGAGCACTGGATCCAAACTACAAGAAAGAAGATTCCACCTAAACATTAGGAAGAACTTCCTGACAGTAAGAGCTGTTTGACAGTGGAATTTGCTGCCAAGGAGTGTGGTGGAGTCTCCTTCTTTGGAGGTCTTTAAGCAGAGGCTTGATAACCATATGTCAGGAGTGCTCTGATGGTGTTTCCTGCTTGGCAGGGGGTTGGACTCGATGGCCCTTGTGGTCTCTTCCAACTCTATGATTCTATGATTCTATGATTCTACGTTGAACAGCAACAGGCCCAGGACACAACCCTGCGGCACCCCCCCCCTTGTCACTTTCCCTCAGGGTGATGAGGAACCATTAATGAGCCCTTTGGTTTCAGTCAGTCAACCAGCCACAAATCCACCTAACAGCTCGTTCAACCCACATTTTACTGGCTTCTCTGCAAGAATATCATGGGGAACTTTGTCAAAAGCCTAAGATACACTACATGCACAGCATTCCCCTGATCCACCAAACTCGTGGATCAAAAAAATAGATTCTTTTGACATGACTTGTTTTTGAGAAACTCATAGTAATCACACCATCCTTCTCTAAGTGCCCCCAGGCTGACTGTTGAATGATCTGTTCTAGGATATTTCTATTGGATGGATTTTATAGACAATAAAGGATATATTTTACAATTTATCCTCCATATTATTCACGTTTGTGAGCAGAAAGTTTAAAGTAATCAGTTTTGCATTTAGAAGTCATACACTTAGTTAGCAGAGTTTAAAACACCATCCCTTGCAGCATTAAAGTGGAATATTTGGGACTAGGCTGTGTGACCTTATTTTTATTTATTCAGGCTGTGGCAACAGACTTTATTTTTCCATGTTCCTTCTTAATAAAAGAAGTACACAACAGACAGTAAATTAAGCATTAAAATAGTATTTATTCACATAAAGTATTGCACTCAGTTCCAGCAGTCAGTAACAGAAGCAAGGCAGGCACATTCTACTTATAGATTACAAAATACATAGTTTAGTTCAAGAATGGAGTCTCTGCTGGAGCCAAGACCAGACAGACATCCATCTGTCTCAGAAGTATTTTGGCAAAGGGAATGAGTTGTGAGGCAAGAGAAAGTAGAAAGGATTACACCCTCCCCCTCCCATCTGCCATAAAACCCAAGGGAAGGGGAGTCACACAGTGCCTACTCTAGCAATCATGAATTCTGTGAGTCTTAACTCCTTCATAGCCTTATTTAGAAAACATGCATTTGTTATTCTGACTGCAAATTCCCACTCTTTCCTGACATCAACATCAAGCTGACCAGTCTGTAGTTACCTGGGTCTTCTCTCTTCCCCTTTTTTGAAGATGGGGACAACATTTGCCCAGCTCCAGTCTGCAGGGACATCACCTGTTCTCCAAGAATTCTCAGATTATAGACAGAGGCGTGATGCTGTGAATAATTTTATAAACTCCTGTCATATCACCCCTGTCACTCACCTTTTATCTAAACTAAAAAGTCCCAAATGCTTCAACCTTTCTCCAGAGGGGAGTCTCACCATCCTTTAGAATATTTCGGTTGCCCTTTTCTGAACCCTCTCCAACTCTGCAACATCCTTTTTGAGTTGAGGCAACCAGAACTGTACACAGTACTGCAAACGCGGCTGCACCGTAAATTTGTATAATGGCATTATGATATTGGTTGCTTTATTTTCAGTTCCTTCCCTAATACTCCTTCACATGGAATTTGCCTTTTTCATGGCTAATGCACGCTGGACCGACATCTTCATCAACTCTACTAGGATGCCAAGGTCTCCCTCCTGGTCCATCACTTGCAGTTCAGAGCCCAGGAGGGTGGACATGAAATTAAGGTTTTCTCTCCAGCATGCATCACTATGTAATATGTAGCATGCATACTACAGTGGTACCTTGGTTCTCAAACTTAATCCATTCCAGGAGTCTGTTCGACTTCTGAAACCATTCAAAAACCAAGGCACAGCTTCGGATTGGCTGTAGGAGCTTCCTGCACTCAAGCAGAAGCCACGTCGGACGTTCAACTTCCGAAAAACGTTTGCAAACCGGAACATTTACCTCCGGGTTTGTGGTGTCCAGGAGCCGATTTGTTCGGCAACTAAGCTGTTCAGGAACCAAGGTTTGACTGTACATAGAACTGCATTTGCCCTTTCCCATTAACTCAGTTTGCAGAGGTCCTTTTGGAGCTCTTCGCAACCTCTTTTTGTTTGAGGAACCCTGAAGAATCTAGTGTCATCAGCATATGCAGTTTGAGCCTGAGAGTAACCCCTCCTGGTGCTGCGGACGCTGGGCTGGCATGCTGGATGGTGCCTGCATCTTCAGAGCAAGAAGACGCATGGGGGGGGCTGGGACTTGGGCATGACGGACCCACTCTAGGCTGGCGGGGGGGTGGAGGCCTTGGAGCAGGTCCTGCCAATCTGGCCCTGGCATCTCCAGCCCCCAGAGGAACTGTAACGTGATGCAATCTAAACCACGGAGAAGAACGCTGCAGGCCCCTCACCTTACAAGGATGGATGGCTGCCAGTCCCATAATTCATCAGAGCACCTGGGGGGGCATTTTTGCATTGCCCTGTTTTTAATTTTGCTTTGATCATGCAAATCCAGGGCCCTCTGCACTGCCAAAGCCTTGCTAAAAGTAAAGATGGATTTATGGTACAGTCAAATCTGGTCCATAGCTGAAAGATGAACTCAAAAACTAAGCTGCACTAGAGGGTGAACAAAGAATATTCACTTCCGACTATTGGGCAAACATTTATTCTATATACAAATGATGATGACAATGTTCAAAAGACCCCTGTGAAAAAGATGACTATTTGGCATTCTCTGTGACATTTCAGCTTTAAGTGAGAATGGCACAAGACCCTGAGGTCAGTAGCCTGATGTTTTTTGATGAAACAAATCTTTTTAAAAAGGTGACTTCCCTGCAACACCAATGCTACTACTACTACTAATGCTTTTCCCCAGGGATGGGGAATGAAACAATCCAAATTTGCATTTTCAATGTGCATGTTTAATTTCATTTTTATCCCACTGTACCATCTTTATTTCTTTATTCTTGTACATTGTAGAAAGGTGTGTTCCTACTTTAATCATTTAAATATTAGAACCATAGAATTGCAGAGTTGGAAGGGACCCTGAGGGTCATTTAGTCCAACCCCCTGCAATGCAGGCATAAATTAAAATTCAATTTAAAAAGTGCACCAGGAAAATCAGACAGTGCAGCCCATTTGTGATATGATTTCACCCCCACATCTAGAAGTGTGTTGAATAGGAAATCTTCTAGCACCCTGGGGCACTTTGCAAAGGAACTGGTCTATAAATCTGCAATAAGCTGTGCTTTAAGACGGCTGGTGGAGGCTGCTGGTGTGCTTCTGTCTTCTCCATTCTGTTCCTGAGTCTCTGCTGCGCCCGCCCTCCTGCTTTATGCTACCTTTCTACAACCGAAAAAAGCCTAAGGATCTGAATGTGGGAATGTTGAGGGTGGCAGGAGAGGATATATTGATTATCCTTCCTAACTTGCACTAGCAAGCTTCTTCACTTAGCAGAGTACATTCCCCTTTACACAGCAGAAAACTTGTTGCAAACTTGTGTGAGTTTCTTAAGACAATAAGCAATTCAGTCTGGCTTGTGCAGATTGAGATATGTTCTAATATTCCTGGTAAGGGCCCTTTGAATCCCTCCTAAAAGAACAAAGACACCACAGTCTTATTCATAAGTAACAAAAACTAGTTTTACTTACCATCAGGCAGGCTTAAGGCTTAAAGTTACAAACAGGTTTACATCCATGTGCTTACCAGAAAAATACTCCTCAGCTTACAATCTCAATCCTTTGCAATCCTTCAAAAATACGCTATGTTGGGGCCCATAACCCTTTGTGGGAATGTTGAGGGTGGCAGGAGAGGATATATTGATATATACTGATATCGTTCCTAACTTGCGCTAGCAAGTTTCTTCACGCAGCAGAGTGCGTTTCTTTCCCTTCTCTGACTGCAGACCTTCCTGGGCAGACACAGAGTCACCTGAGGGCTCTCGTGCTCAGATGCTCCGATGCAGAGAGTTCATGCGCAACCCCTTAATGGTCGAGATGGTGAGGAAGCCCAGATCCCACACATGTCCCAGCAAGGAAGAGGCGGTGTGGGTGGTCCTGCACCCAGCAGAGCATCAGCACCCACTGAGAGAGGGGCACCCCGGCACCCCCCTTGCTCTGGCACAGGCACCCTTGGAACTCAGCTGGCTGCTGTGGCAATAAACAAGGCTTCTGTCGCCATGGCAATGCTCCCTTCCTCCCTCCCACCCTGCGGCCAATGGGATGAGGGTTCCCTGGCTACAGCTGGCCTGGTCTGGCCTGCCCTGTGAGAAGCCCAGCCGAGGTAGGAGAGCTGCAAAGCCCGGCCACCAAGCGGCAGTCCTGCTCCCCACCAACCCAGCTCCCCCCGCTATGGAATGACCAGCCTGTCTTGACGCACCCTGTGCCCACCCCCCTGTCACGGGATCATCTTTGGGATGGTCCTTTCACAGCCCTTGTATCTGTTTAGCAGGGCTTAGCATGACTCAGTCCCCATGAGGTCGGCTTCCTCCGCTACAGACCCTCCGTAGGGCAGAGAGGGCCCTTCAGAGGCTCTGGGTGGGTGTGGCCCAAGAGTGGCCTTCTCTGTGGTGGCTCCTAATCTGTAACTCCCTCCCCAGAGAGGTGTGTCTGGCACCTTCATTATAAGACGCACCTCCTGACCCTGCCCTTTGCCACTTGTGTATTTTTAGGACCCAGCTCATTTCCACAAATTTAGCTTGTTTTAATATTGTGTCTAGGGACGCAGGTGGTGCTGTGGGTAAAAGCCTCAGTGCCTAGGACTTACTGATCAAAAGGTCGGCGGTTCGAATCCCCGCGGCGGGGTGCGCTTCCGTCGCTCGGTCCCAGCGCCTGCCAACCTAGCAGTTCGAAAGCACCCCTGGGTGCAAGTAGATAAATAGGGACCGCTTACCAGCGGGAAGGTAAACGGCGTTTCCGTGTGCGGCTCTGGCTCGCCAGAGCAGCGATGTCACGCTGGCCACATGACCCGGAAGTGTCTGCGGACAGCGCTGGCCCCCGGCCTCTTGAGTGAGATGGGCGCACAACCCGAGTCTGTCAAGACTGGCCCGTACGGGCAGGGGTACCTTTACCTTTACCTTTAATATTGTGTCTCAGACTTGGGGCCTTGGGGTGAATTGTGGGTAAATAATATTCATAATCACAATAGGCAGTGTGGTGTAGTGGTTAGTGCTTGACCAGGACCTGGGAGAGCAAGATTCAAATCCTCACTCAGCCTTGTAGCTCCCTGGGTAACCTTGGGCCAGGCACTCAGTCTCAGCCTGTCCTACCTCATAGGGTTGCTGTGGATAAGAGAGAGATGAGGAGAACCATGTCCACCACCTTGACTCCTTGGAGAAAAGGTGGAGTATAAAAGAAATAGATTAAATAAATGAAATAAGAAGAGTTCAGTGGCAGAGCGCATCCTATGTTAAACTATGGAACTCCCGCCATGAGGAGGCAGTGATGACCACGAACTTGAATGTCTTTGAAAGAGGATTAGGCAAAACCACAGAGGATGGGGGGGGGGAGTATCAATGGCTACTAGCCAGGAGGGCAATGCTCTACTCCAGAGGCTTTCAACCTTTCTGAGTCCACGGCTCACTTGACCAACTGCGGCTCCCCTGTGGGGCTCAGGAGCCCAGTTAGGTCCCCCCCCCTTGCCTGCAGAGCTGGCAGCCCCTCACCCCTTTTCCAAACACCCTCCCTTGTGGAGTGTTCCCTCAGCCTCCTCTCCTCTCCCCTCTCCTTGGAGTCCTCTGGGCAGCCGCTGCTGCCGCCCCATGTCTCTGAGCTGCCCTCCTGCCCCAAAGAGAGGGGCCTCCCAGAGCCACCATTCGCCTGTGGGGCTTAGAGCCAGGGCTGCTGCAATAAACAGCTGTGCAAGCCTTGGGGAGGCAGAGACGCATTAGGGCATCAGAGGAGGGAGGGAAGGGGTCCAGAGGCCAGTGTTGCCCACAGCACCCCTGACCACCATTCAGGGCACCTCAGGGTGCCACGGCACGCTGGTTGAAGACCACTGCTCCATGCAGTTGGAGACAGCAGTTCTCCTGGAAACCACAGGGGGAGAGCGCTGCTTGCAAGCTTCCCATTGGGCAGCCACTGAAAGAACAAGGTGCTGGACTGGAAGGGGCTACTGGCCTGATCCTGCAGGCTCTTCTTACGTTCTGATCCTGCTGTGTATGGCAGAAGGTCCCAGGGTTGGACCTCAGCACCTTCAGCTAAAACGGCCTTCCGTACTGAGGCTGGGAAAGACCACTGACCCTCCTGTTGCCATTAGAGAGTGAGGAGGGCTGCTTCCAGTCAGAGCCAAGGAGGCCCAGCTAAGTGGCCAAGGGGTGGGCTCCAGGCAAGGCCTCCCCTCCCTGGGCTCACACATCCAGACTGTGTCCGCCTCTGCCCTGGCAACGTCTTCTCCCTGCCTTTTTTGGCCAGTCTCCAGCTGCTCCTTCCTTCCTGTTTGGTCTCCAGCACCGTTGCCTAGTGACGCACAATGCCACCCCCCTTCCCTTCCCTTCGCTTCCCCTGCTGCCCCCTGGGAATCCAGGACAGCCCAGCCCCTGCACTGCTCTCACGGGCCCTGTTTGCATCCCAGAACAGCCAACATGGAAGAGGAGCCCATTGAAGATGTGCCCATGGGGCCCTTGGAGGAAGAGCAAGAGCAGGGGGGTCAGAGGACCTCCTCCACCGCCCTGGAGGTGGAAGAGGAGATCATCCTGCCTGCTTCCACTTCCTTAGATGACGAAGACGAGGAAACCATCTTGCCCGTGTCCACATCCCTGGAAGGGGAAGATGGTGGCAAGGAGACGTCCCTCCCGCCTTCGGAGTGGGAGACCTCCGAGTCGCTGGTCCCGCAGGAGCAGAGCCCCAGCAACGAGGGGTCTTCTTCCCAGCCTCTGGAGAGCTCTGAGCCTTCTTCTTCCTTGGCCTCCTCACCTTCCTCGTCGGCCGTTTCCTGGAGGAGGCAGAAGGACAACCAGCTGCAACCCCTGGAGGAGGTGGAGGACACGGAGGAGACCACGGCGGAGCTCAGCAGCATCCTTCCCCAGAGGAGTCTGGAGAAGAAGGCCAAGAAGAAGGGCGCCATGGTCAAGAAGGGAGCTCTGAGTAGGTGGCGCGGGATCTGACCCACAGGGCAGGGGGCTTCTTGGGGAGGACTTTGGGTTGGCTGTGCCCGGGAGGAGGGGGTGAGGGTTCTAGGGGAGCAACATGTGGCACCTGGAGGCTCTGCAGGACAGGGAGTCACAGCATCATAGAACTGGAGAATTGGAAGGGATCCCCAAAGGGCATCTAGTCCAACCCCCTGCAATGAAGGAATCTCAGCTGGATCATACATGACAGGGAGTCACCCAGTCTCTGCTTAGTGCTTAAAAACCTCCAAGGAAAGGGAGTCCACCACCTCCTGAGGGAGACCGATCCACTGTTGAACAGCTCTTACTGCCAGAATTCTACTGTGTTACCATCTTCCTTAAGGGACGCGGGTGGCTCTGTGGTTTAACCTAAGACTTGCCGATCAGAAGGTCGGCGGTTCAAATCCCCGCGACGGGGTGAGCTCCCATTGCTCGGTCCCAGCTCCTGCCAACCTAGCAGTTCGAAAGCACATCAAAGTGCAAGTAGATAAATAGGTACCGCTCTGGCGGGAAGGTAAACGGCATTTCTGTGCGCTGCTCTGGTTCGCCAGAAGCGGCTTAGTCATGCTGGCCACATGACCCGGAAGCTGGACGCTGGCTCCCTCGGCCAATAAAGTGAGATGAGCGCCGCAACCCCAGAGTCGGCCACGACTGGACCAGGGGTCCCTTTACCTTTACCATCTTCCTTAGTGAGTCAGGCAAACTGCTGTTCCAAATAATGCTTTTTGAAGAGGGGGGGCCCAGGGGGTGAGTTTGTGGAACCAAAGCAGCGGGGCCCCCAAAAAGTTTGGGAAGCACTGATTTAAATCATTCCTATTTAGCCTTTCTGAAGTGAACTGAGCAGATCACGAAGCACCAACTCTTGCTGGGCTGGGCTTACAAGTTTATGAGTAAATGGCAACCAGTCCATCAGAAGCCGTTCCTCTCCTAATCCTGCTGGGCCGGATCCCGTCTCTCTTGCCAGACTACACCGTGAGGCCTGTGGTGCCAGCTGAGAAGGCAGAGCTGATATCGGTGGCCAAAGCGATGCACCGGGAGAACTTTGGCAAGAACGTCAAGGAGCTCTTCCACCTGGAGAAGGAGGCAGCCCTGAAGTCCATCGAGACAGGTGGGCGGAGCCTGCAGGCCAGGCAGATGCTCCAACCTGTAACGTGTGTGTGAGTATGCACAGGCCCATGTGCAAAGTTCCGCTTTTAGGCAAACAAAACCCAAGGCACATGTGCAGGAGGGGACCCACCTGCCTTGGCAGCAGCACATGTGGAAAGCATCTTGGCATCAATGCCAATTGCAAACCTAGCAGTTCAAAAGCACACCAGTGCAAGTAGATAAATAGGTACCGCTGTGGCGGGAAGGTAGACAGCATTTCCATGCACTCTGGCTTCCATCATGGTGTCAGAAGCAGTTTATTCCCGCTGGCCACACGACCCAGAAAGCTGTCTGTGGACAAACGCCGGCTCCCTCGGCCTGAAAAGCGAGATGAGTGCTGCAACGCCATAGTCGCCTTTGACTGGACTTAACCATCCAGGAGTCCTTTACCTTTTGCCTTTATGAGGCAGCAGTGTGACACAGCTGCAAGTGCAATTTCAGGCTACCTTAATACAACCGTAGTCTCCAAATCAGGAGAAGAATTCGTTCCATTTTATTCTGAGCTAGTCAGGCCTCACCTGAAGTCCTCTGGGCGGTTCTGGAACAGCTTCAGAGGTGGAGGGCTCCAGCGGAATGGAGAGCTAGTCCTGTGCGGACAGGTCAGAGGAACTGGGTGTGCTGAGCCTGGAGAAGAGAAAGAGAGGGGGCGACAGGAGTCGTCTTCTTCTTCCTCCTCCTCCTCCTCCTCCTTCTCCCAAGGCCTGACAGGATCTCACAGCCAGAAGGGGCTGCTGTGGCTGGTTCTTTGCTGCCTGCGAGGGCAAATGAGGCAACCGTTTACCAGTGGAGCCAGCGGGCTTTCCCTTCACGGGAGCTCCTTGAGCAGAGGCTAAATGCCCACCTGCTGGCGATTCCCACAAGATCCCCTTCGTCCTGACCCTCTTGCAGCTGGAGGGTGAGCTAGGACTACAGACGGCCTCCCCAAACTCCGCTTCCGAGGGTTTCTGGTGGGACCATTTCTGCCACTGGATGTACTGGAAGCCCAGCATTTGGGGGTTGAAGAACCCTCTTTTCTCTCTCCCCAGGTAAGACACGAGAGGACCATAGATGCCAACTGTGCTGTGCCAGCAGGGGCAGCCCCATGAGGAGATGTCAGGCCCCCCACAGTGTTTCTGCCACCCCCAAACCATACTGGCCGAGGAGGTAATCCCCATTCCCAGCAGTGGGGTTATGAACAGGGGAAGCGGCTGGATCCTGGTCCCGTCTGTTGGCCCACCTGGCACAGCAGGATCCGCTGTGGCTCTCCGGGGTCTTGGGCAGAGAGAGAGGGGCTTTCCCCAGCCTCCCACCCCAAATCCAGTGAGGGGGCAGGGGGCAGACGCAGACCCCATGAGCTGGGCTCTGGCCCTGACCTTCCCCTCAAAGCTTCCTCAGGCAAGCAGCACCCCCACGCCCAAAGCCTGTTTGAGTGTAGAAGGAAGGGCACAGCTTGGCATGGGGTGCCCCTTTGTCTCCCAGCCCAGACGCTGTTCGGCAGCCCAAATGGTGGCAGCAGCAGCAGCCCTTGCCCTCTCCCACGGGGTCAGGATTATGCCAAGGAGGCATTTGGGCTCCCTAGTGGATGGGGCTCTTTTCTGCGCTTACCACATGCCTTTAAAGCACATTCAGAGAGCGACTGTAGTTTACCCTTCAGCCGCTACAGTCCTTCCCACAGGGGTTAGGCTCAGCCTGGTAGAGGCAGCGCCTGGTGCTCTGGAGCGGCCAGGCCCAGATACCAGGGAAGGAGTGTGGGGGAAAGCTCCTCACCTGTGCCAGTTGGGCCCAGGCAGTGGGTGGGCTCAGCTCCCCTGCCTCCCGTCTGCCTGAAAAGCCGCCTCTCCCACAGGCCTCTATATCGGCTGGCGCTGCCCAGAGTACCTGTGGGACTGTTTCCGCGTGGGTGACGAGTCCAAGTGTTTCTGTGGGCATCTGCTGAAGCAGCACCAGGTCTATGTAGGTAAGTCATGGGGAGGGGGGAGGTAAGGAGCTGGCAGTCAAGTCGTTGGCCCTGTCTGAGAGAGGACAGAGGGAACTGCGGGCATCGGAACCAAGGGCAATTCTGAGCCCTGCAGCAGAAGTGGCAGCTCCCCCCCCCCTTATTGGTTTGCCCACAGCCCTTGATGTGCAGGTCTCCTGCGTCCGTCCATGGAGGTTCCACTTAGCTCTCATGGCAGTTCCTGCTTGATGTGCCCTCCGTCAATGTGCCCAGTGCTAAGGATGGCACTCAGGTGGCAAATGCAGCCATCATCTCACAAAGAAACGCTCCATGGCTCGTTCAGTCATGGAATCTTCCAGGAGTTTTCAATTCTTGGATCCCCAGAATCAGCGGCGGAGGAAGCTGTTCAGGCGCCTGGGGTGGGGCGAGCCCCCCCATAGGGGTGGGGCACACTGTGGGGCCTCCGGAGTTTGCCTGCCTCCTCCCACTCAGCTGCCCTACAACTGGGGGGGGGAGGTGGCGGGCGGACCATTTGGGCAGTGCGGAGTGGTGGCTTGGGTGCGCTGCAGGCTCTGTGGTGAGTGCCGCCCGGCATTTTGTCACCCCCCTCAGTGGTGACACCCAGGGCAGCCCACCCCCCCCCACTGCCCCCTTCCTCCACCCCTGCCCAGAATGAGAAGGGACTGGGGACGCCATGTAGACTGACCCCACCCCCCAAACTCACAACTGTGCATAGCTGTCAATGTTTCCCTTTTTTAAGGGAAAATCCCTTATTCCAAATAGGATTCCTTGCAAGAAAAGGGAAAATTTGACAGCTATGCAACTGTGCTGCATTTCATCTACAGTGTAGATAACAGCTGGCACACCTAGGGCACGCCCATGGCAAGCTCTGCTGTGGCAAATCTTGCAAAGTGATGGCACAGGGGATATGGGGCACGTTCAGCTCCACAGGGTGGGACATCTGTCTCTTGCCACAACTCGTCTCTGAGCGGCTCCTGACTTTCTTTCAATTCCCCCCAAGGACTTCCCCAGCCCCTCCTCGGGCTCCTTCTGTCCCCCCAGCTCCTCCTGACCAGCTCACTGCCGCTCCTTTCTCCAGACAGGCGGGCGACCGTGTCCTGCACCCTGCAGGGGTGCAAATGCCAAGCCTTCATGTTCATCCCCTCCCGCCCAGAGGAGGTGGGCGAATTCTGGCTGCGGAGGAGAACCGGCTTCGACCCAGCGGCCTGGCGGGCCAAATGCCGCTGCAAGCACACCCACGAGGAGCACACGCCCAACGGAGCCCGGGGCTGCGGTGCCCGAGGTGGGTGTCCCTGGGGTGCAAGGAAGGGGAGAGGGTGCCAGGCATGAAGGCCTGCCCTCTGCAGTGGGTTGGACAAGATGACCCTGGGGACCCTTCCAATTCTACATTTCTCTCTTTGCCGAAGCCCATATCCTTGAGGGTCTCTTGGCTGCTCCTGTAAGAAACAGGATTTCAGGAGAATCAGAACCTGAATGTCCATTTGTTCCCATTCGGATTTAAAGAGCAGTTTTCACAGAGAAAGGACTGGGGCAAAAAGAAAAAGGGCACTCAGACACAGCGCTATAAATTGTAGACCTGTGCCTAGAAAGTGTGGGGAAAAGCTTTGTGTGGGTGAGCCCTCTGGTTTGACAGAAATCCCTTGTTGCCCTGCACTCTGAATAGCCCTTGTTCCTGCTGTGGGGGACACAGTTTATAAATCCTTGAAATATCCCCCCAAGGGGCCTCTTTGGGGTCTTCCCATGAGCCCAGGAGAGTTGAGAGGGGCATGCAGCCCGACCCTCACATGGTGTCCTGCCCCCACCCCAGACAGGACTCCAGACCCTCCAAGTCTCCCTATTTTCTAGGGACATCCCTGACTTAGAGAAGCCGTCCCGGTTTCTGATTTGATCCCAGAATGTCCCACTTTCCCTTAGAATGTCCATATTTTGATCGGAGAAATGTTGGAGGGGATGGAGTTATGTGACCCTGAGCGGCCAGAAGGCATTTCAAAAATGCTTAATGTTTTTATATATGTTGGAAGCTGCCCAGAGTGGCTGGGAAACCCAGTCAGATGTGTGGGGTGTACAGAGTAAAATTATTGTGATGGAATGGGATGTCCCTATTTTCATCGGAGAAATGTTTGAGAGCCAGTGTGGTGTAGTGGTTAAGAGCAGTAGTCTTGTAATCTGGGGAACCGGGTTCGCGTCTCCGCTCCTCCACATGCAGCTGCTGGGTGACCTTGGGCTAGTCACACTTCTCTGAAGTCTCTCAGCCCCACTCACCTCACAGAGTGTTTGTTGTGGGGGAGGAAGGGAAAGGAGAATATTAGCCGCTTTGAGACTCCTTAAAGGGAGTGAAAGGCAGGATATCAAATCCAAACTCTTCTTCTTCCTCTTCTTCTTCTACGGGACCTGAGGAGGGCCAGTTCACACATTTCAGCCTGCTAGCCCTCTCTGTATTACACAGACCCGCCAGATCCTCCCATGCCTGGAAATGGGTGGCCCAAGGGGGCCTCTTCCCCCACTTTCTTCACAACAACCCTGCAAGGTTGGTTCCTGCCTTGCTTGAAGCTGCTTAACGTGATATTCAGGGCTGTGTGGGACCCTCTCCCTGTGGCGGAGATGCCCCCACCCCCCAGACTGGCACCCCACCCCCCAAGCACTGACGTCCCGCTCTCTTTCCACCCTCTAGGCTGCTCCTGTCTGGCTTTCACCTCCAACTTCTTGTGCGCTGCCTGCGACCGGCGCTGGGAGGAGCACGAGACTTTCTTTGAGTCGGAGGAGACGCGGCGGAAGGGGGGCCGGCCGTGCGGTACGAGCAGGAGGGGAGCAAGGGAGGGGGCACTGTGGGGGCCACATTTCCCCTTGCCTATCCTTCTGGTGCCCACAACGGAAGCTAGCCAGTTTCCCACCCTTCCACCCCAATTCCATGGGGCTCTGCTCCAGCAAGGGCAGCCCCACAGAGAGCGCATTGCAGTAGCCTGGCCTTGAGGTTGCAGAGGCAAAGATCTGTAGACTGTTTCAGCAGGGGGCCGGTCCACTGTCCCTCCGATTTTTGTCGGGGGCTGGACTATATTTTGAATGAATTCCTATGCCCCACAAATCACCCAGAGATGCATTTTAAATAAAACGACACATTCTACACATGTAAAAACACGCTGATTCCTGGACCGTCCGCGGGCCAGATTGAGAAGGTGGTGGGGCTGGATCCGGCCCCCGGGACTTAGTTTGCCTACCTATGGTATAGGTTAACACACTCTGACTCTCTCTTTCCTTGGATATGTTACTTCAATAAGCCAAGCCAGACCTGTGTGCTCTGAATTTACCTTCTGAGATTGTGGAGGTCACCCTCACTTTTCACAAAACTGCTGCCAGCCTTGCCATGGAGCCTCTGAACTCTGCAAATTAGCTGGGATTCTGGCCTTGCAGGGGCTGGGCTGGATGACCCTTTGGGGTCCCAATTCTTTGAACAAAGGAGCATCCTCATTTTCATCCCTGCAGTGACCCTCATGTTCAAATTCAGATTCTACAACCACCTGGGCGTTTCCCCACTCAATATTCTGGTTTCAAAGCCTCCCTGATCTTTCCTGGAGAGCCAGCCTTTGGGTGCTGTGTCCTCCTGGCTTCCCGGGGCCCTTCCTCCTGCCCCCCCCCCCGGTCGGGCTCCGTCCCACACCTGCCTCTCTTTCCCCCAGGAGAAGCCTATCTGCCTTTTGCCGAGATGCCCGAACTGCGCGATGCCGTCCTGACGGGGCGCTCCGAGGACAGCTCTGCCTACCAAGCCCTGCAGGGCCAGGCCTTCCCTGCCCTGCCTGCCCCCTCTGGCTCACGCGCTCTGCCTCTTCCCCCCTCAGGGCCCCGGAGGATAGTGGAGAAGGACCACAAGAAGGCCTGAGGGTGGCCGGCGGATGGGACCCCCCCCCCACAGCGAGAGGCAATAAAGAGAGGCTGCTCTAGCCGGCCGCGTCTGGGTGTCTCTTCCGGGCCCCTGGGGGGTGGGGGGAGGGCTCTGCGGGGAATCCGGGGCCAGAGGGGGCTCTGGGGCAGGAGAGGGGTCAGGATGGGATTCCTCCATGCAAGAACACCAGGCTAGCTGGCTGGATCATCTAGTCCTGTTCTCACAGGGGCCAAATACTCCAAAGAACCGAGGGGTCTGGATAGACTGCCTCTGGCCCTGGAGGCTCCGTAGGAACATGAGAAGAGCTTGGCCAAAGCGTCCTGTTCTCAGAGCCAGAGGCCACAAGGGGAAACCCTCAAGCAGACCTGAGCTCAGCTGCAACTCTCCTGTGGCTTCCAGGAACTGGGGTTCAGAAGCAGCAACGCCTCCAGCCGCAGAGGCAGAGCGCAGCTCTTAAGTTGTGGGCGAACATATCAGACGACACAGCAATTCTTCAAAGAGCTCTTGTTTATTCACAGGCCAGAACAGAACTGATCTGAACGGTTCTGCCAGCCTGCTTATATCGAGTTCAACTACAAAGCAACAGTAACAACTTTCTGTAACTATCCAATCACTGAACGTCACTTTCAATTCCTTATTTGCATACGTGGACCTAAGTGAAAACTATCTAGAGTATCCCCCTGCTGGCCCAGGGTAAGAACTTCAGTACATAACAGCAGCCATTGTGACTAGCAGCCTTCAATAGCCCTCCACTCCATCAGTTTCCCGTTTCCAAGTTGGTGGCCAGCATGGCCTCCTGTGGCTGGGAGTTCCACAGATTAACAATGTCCTGTGTGAAGGACTTCCTTTGCACAATGTGGCTCCCGCAGGGAGAATGGGCAGCTTTTTCTGAACCAGCTACCAGCTGGGGCTTCCATGGCAGCCTTTGAGAGGGGTCAGCTGGCAGGTAGGCTAGGGCAGGGCCCCAAAGAATGAGCCAGGGGGTGCCACCCTCCAGGCCAAGGGTGGGCCCAGTGCCTTTTTGTCTAGAAAAAAGCTGAAGTTGTTACAGGAAGGGCTTGTTCTGGCCCTGGTCCCCATTAGCCTTGCAAGGGACTGCACTCGATGACCCTCGGGGTCCCTTCCCATTTTGAGATTCCTCAAAGTCAGATGGCTTTCCTCCTGCCTGTCCTCGTATTATTTGGGACTCCTGCCCCACTGGCCACATGACCCGGAAGCTGTACGCTGGACAATAAAGCGAGATGAGCGCCACAACCCCAGAGTCGTCCACGACTGGACCTAACGGTCAGGGGTCCCTTTACCTTTAGGAACACAATAGCCAGAGTGTTGGATGGAGAGCTGAGCTGGAAGCAGGAGACTCAGAGACCTGCTTGCTCTGGGCTGGGTATCCAAAGCCGCGACTGTTTGGGGGTTGATGCTGTGAGCCCCTCCAGCCTACGCTCAGGTTGTCGAGCCGTGCAAATGAAACCAGATATCCTAAACAGCACAATGGCAGGACACTTGAGCAAGAAGGACGGGAGGAGGGTGGCAGCAGGGGAAGGATGAGACCCTGCCTGCTTAGCCTCTGCTGGATGGTGAGCAGGGCCGTTGCTAGGGAGTGGTGAGGAAGGCCCCGGCCAGGCAAGGGAGGGGGGCAAAACCAGCTAAAAATATGTCTAGAAATAAAAATATTGGCTAGGAGGTGCAAGATCACCTAGCCATGGCTCTGATGACTGTTACCGGAAAAATCTGAGGGCTCCCTTGGACAAAAAGTAAAGACACCAACCAGAGTAAATTGAAGCAAATCAGCAGCCTGTAGGCTTGGTCTTTATTGAAGAAAGACTGTTGCGACAGGGTGCTCCCCTCACTTGTGTGGGATGTAAACACAGGAGCAGTCAATGACAACATTCCTAGAGTGTACATGGGAGGGATGTCTGTCCAGCAAGCAGGTAAACTTCCTGGGGACGGACTTCCTCCACATGTGACTAGAGGTGGGTGTGGCCTCACCTGTGCAGGTGATGACAAAAAGCACAGGGCAGGCAGCCATCTCTCTCTCTCTGCCATTTTCCTTCGACGAGGAAACACCTAAGGATGCCCTCTTGGCTCCCAGCCAAGAGAGGAGATAAGGCCTATCTTGCTATGAGATAGATTCTAAATCTATGTAACCTTTTTAAGCCTGTCTGCCGTCTGGGATCACATTGTGAACAGGACGTGAGTAAACTCTTTTATACTTTTATGAAGACTGTGTCGTGTCTTGTATTTTAAGAGGGAACTAAAGGGGAAATTACCAGGGTAATTATTATAGAGGTTCTAGCGAACCTGTGCACACGTTACCGTTGCGTACTAAAGGGGAATGTTTATAAACTCTGCTGATATTTTGGGAACTTGTTAGCACAAGTTGGACAAGGATATAATTAGTCAATATATCCTTTCCTGCACCCCAGAACATTCCCACAAAGGGTTATGGGCCCAGTATTGCATATTTCTGCGTGTTTTTGAAGGATTGCATTGGATTGTGATTTTGAGTTGAGTAGTATTTTTCTGAGTTAACTTCCTGGTAAGCACATGGTCCTTTGTTCCATTGTGCAGTGGGGATTAAGCAACCCACCCCCTTCCCTCAGAGTTCACAGTGACCCAAGGCAGTGAAGAATTGTTTTGTATTTTGAGATTTTTGAGATTTTGATTTTAAAATTTTGAGAAATTTTGAAATTTTGAAGAATTTTCAAATTTTGGATTTTAAGATGGCTAGAGCAGCTTTTGATAGTGATGCAAAGCTAGGAATGCCTGTGCTGAATGAGTACAATTTCATGCACTGGAAGCAGCGCTTGATAGCATGTTTGGATTATAAGCACATTTTGGAAGCTTTAGAGCCTCAGCCTACAGGATCGTCTGAGGGAGATTTAGCCAAGATAAGTGCTTGGAAACGCATGAACAGCGAAGCTAGACACATAATTTTGAGTGGACTTCGTGATGAGCAGCTATCATTAATAAATAGCACAGATGATGCATCTCAAATCTTAAGAGATATTGAGCGCGTGTATGGAGAATCTAGCATAAACAGCTTCAGAAACTTGGTGTGTAAATTAACCAGATTGAGGATGAATTCAAAAGAGGAATTCACAGAGCACATCAACAAGTTTACTGAGATTATTCAAAGAATTGATCTGACTCCCAAAGCTTTTGATGAGGATACAAAGATAGCATTTTTGTTATCATCACTTGGACCACGCTTTGGTGCATTTGTAAGTTTGATGGAGCATAGACAAGGTCTGACATTTAAAGACTTGATTGGTTATTTAAAAGAAGAATGCAGAGATAGAGGTGAATCTCCAGTGAGAAATGCTAGAAGCAAGGACAGCAGTTATGCATCTAGGCAATGTACAAAGTCCAAAGAGATGCCTAAGAAAGTGATTTGCTTCAATTGTAACAAAGAAGGACACATTGCAAAGAATTGCAGGGCTCCTAAAGCAAAGAAACCCCACCCCTTTCAGCCAAAAGGGGAAAAGAAGGGGAAATGTGAATGCACATGGTTACTGCAAGAAAGGAACTTAGCTGTCCAGAATCGTGAAAATAAACGTAACAAATGGATTTTAGATTCAGGTGCCAGTTCGCATTTTTCATATAAAAAGGACTATTTTAATGAGATTAATGAAATAAATGATGAAGAAGGATCTGAAATTGAGATTGCAGATGGTAACATTGTTAAAGCAAAAGGTGCAGGTTCCATGAGCCTGAAATGCAGTATAAACAATGAATGCATTGAGAACACAATCTCTAGAGTTTTGTATGTTCCAGAGCTGAGTTGCAACTTAATCAGCGTGTCCACTTTGGACAAGAAAGGTTTCCAGGTCACATTTGGAAATGGAGAATGTAAAGTGACTAGAAATGGCAAAGTGTTTGCTCAAGCAAAGCTAATAAATGGTGTATATGAGCTTGATCTTTCAGAGAACCAGTCTGCAAAAGTGGCACATTCCAGCCAGAAGGATGAAGCAGATCTGGACTTATGGCACCGAAGGCTAGGACACAGAGACGCCAGCCTCATTCTGGATCTACAGAAAAGAAATCTTGTAAGAGGTTTGCAGGTAAAGCAGAGCAACAAAGCTCCAGCAAAGTGCATAAGCTGTATTACTGAGAAGGCTGTAAAACCTTCATTTCCACGTTGTGCAGAACAAAGAAGCAACAAAGTGCTTGACATAGTGCACACTGACATATGTGGACCCATGAATGTTCCCTCACTGGGAAAGAATAGATATATTTTAATATTTCTGGATGACTTTTCAAGATTTTGTGTTGTATATTTCCTCAAAGAGAAGAGTGAGACAGTGGACAAGCTCCAGGAATACCGTATTTTTCGCACCATTGGACGCACATTTTTTCCTTTAAAAACTAAGGGGAAAAGTCTGTGCGTCCTATGGAGCGAATGTGTGGTCCTGGGACTTCCCCCTCCAGCCACTCCAAGCTCAGGTAGCAGCGGAGAGGCTGCGTGGGCGGCTGGGGAAACCCCGGGCTTCCCCATTCAGACCGACAAGCAGCTGAGAGGCTGCGTGGGCGGCTGGGGGAAGCCCTGGGATTCCCCATTCAGTGCTACCAGCTCAGGGCGCTCAGCGCGCAGTGGAGACGCTGCTTGCAACTTGCCCTCTGTCCCTGAGCCGCTCTAGGGGGCTGGCTGGAGAAGCCCTGGGTTTCCTCATTGAGTCGGAGGAGCTCAGGGCGCTCAGCGCTCAGCGGAGACGCTGCCTGTAACTTGCCCTCCATCCCTGAGCCGCTCTAGGAGGCTGGCTGGGGAAGCCCTGGGTTTCCTCATTGAGTCGGAGGAGCTCAGGGCGCTCAGCGCTCAGCGGAGACGCTGCCTGTAACTTGCCCTCCATCCCTGAGCCGCTCTAGGGGCTGGCTGGAGAAGCCCTGGGTTTCCTCATTGAGTCGGAGGAGCTCAGGGCGCTCGTAACTTGCCCTCCATCCCTGAGCCGCTCTAGGAGGCTGGCTGGGGAAGCCCTGGGTTTCCTCATTGAGTCGGAGGAGCTCAGGGCGCTCAGCGGGCAGCGGAGACGCTGCCTGTAATTTCCCCATTCAGACCGACAA